GGTTGCTGTCTCTGCAAACATGTTACACACAAATCACACAGATACTCTCTGTGTCTGTGTGTCTAATCTGTTCTGTCTGAATAGAAAATATGTACAGCTGCCAACCAATGGCTTGCTACTGCATTGCTACAAGGACTTTTAAATATTCATAATTATAAAGTACTTCCTCTGATATTAAATTTCAATGCTAGAGGCCAAATTTTTTCATTCCTTAGAATTTTCCAATGAAATTGGTCTATTTTGCTTTCTCTCTGTAATATATAACTAGAGATTTACAGATTCTCAGTGTTTCATCATTATTTTAACAATATGTTACAGAGCCAATGTTGCAGTAATCTCATGAAACATCATTGTTGTACATCAGGCGGTTGGTGTTTTTTTTTTTTAACAAATTTGGCAATTTACATTAGTGTGGATTTCAACTCCCAACATTTCCCAGTCAGTTCTGGTAGTTGAAGTCCATAAAAATTGAAAAAACACTAACATACATGATTCTAAATTACAGAAAATATGTAGGTTGCAGGAGAGAATTTGGGAGTTCTGGGTTAAGGATGTACTTTCATTAAACCTGAACATTCAGAAAAGGGGCCTACTCTGCATCACAACAGAAACAAATCTGCACCAGGACATAAAATACATCCTAAAGCAAAACTTCAGTAAACCACACTTCATTTTACTTAAATTTTAGAGTTTTCTATGTTGACACTGTTCATTTCTTCCTCAATTTTTTCTCACATGGATACTAGGTAGACGGCATTTGGAATTGGAAGTCATCTTTCATTCTGTGCCATTTTTTCCTCAGTTTAATTTGTGAATTGACTGCTTATTAGCAGCTAAACCCATTTTTGGATACTTGTTTTAGATTAATTGGTTCTAATCCTGAGTCTTACCTGTTGTTGAAGTCCAATTTCATAAATTTTGACAATTCGCTGCGGATGATGAAAATATACCAGAACTTGGTATATGTGGAATGCAGTTTCCTTCAATCACTAGATTACATCCAGACCTAGTGGAACTATTAAGAACTTCTTTTCATTTACATAACAAGCGTTCATTTATGTAAGCTTGAAATTAGTGAGATTTCTCAAGGCATAGAAATGAGCTAAGTTTAGTTCCTAAATTAAATATGTTTAATTTGTTCTCTGAATCTAGCAATTGTGGGTTGTGTGACAAACCATGGTTAACTAAATCGTGACCTATAAAATTGTGTCAACCAGTCTCTGACTCAGACCCCTGATATATCAAACATAATTGTCACTATTGACTGTCACTGTTTATAGTTTCATGAAAGGTTCCTCCACGCTAATTCATAGCATTTGAATCTGGATCTGTGTAGAATAATGGGCCGTATGGCTATTTCTCTTATATGTATTCTTTTATGATGAATCCCATCAACTAGTTTGTCCTTCTTCCCAAATATTCCGCTTTTGATTAATATTCTAGGATGCCTGAAAGACAAGTGATAACAAAGCAATCAATATTAAGATTTGTTTAAGCGCCTAAGACATTGTGGTTGTACTTACATGATTGCCCAGCCAGTTTCTATCTTTGAGAAAATATCTTTGTTTAGCATTAGCACAGGACTATAGAATCTCCAATGAAGCAGGAAAATAGTTCTCTAATACTTCAGCTACCCACTAACTGCTGAATATATTTGTAGGAGGTCACCACTTCCTGACACATTAAAAACAAAAATCTTGAAAAGAAAATATGCATGGTACTCACGTCAATGTTACTACATTGCAATATAAGACAGTGAACTGCTACTTGGATTTGCTTACATCATTTTTCTCATAGCCTGCAGTACTCTTCTTAAATTTCAACAAATTTCCTAATATACTGAAGTTTCAAAAATCTTTCCAAGGATTCAACACCAAAAGTGTAGAATAAGTGTGTGATAAGAGAGAGAGAGAAAAGATCTAGTTTGCACTCTTCAGCATTATGCGTTGAAGCCTTAAAGAACTGTTACCAACTTAACAGTACATCTGACAATGCTTTAGATGCTGAACTATGCAGTCAGATACTGAAACCTCAGGCACTGTGATTGTTCTGTGAAATCAATTACGAGGGTATTTTTAGTCATTGCTGGAAGAAATAGGATTGCTACCAAATGAAACAAGTTAAGTTTTTAGGAGGTGATGTTATTTGCTAATCAACATGCTACAGTAGTTAAGGCACTAGGCTGAAAACCAGGAGACAGTGAGTTCAAAGCCTGCCTTAACCAGCTGGATGACTTTGGGCCAGTCATTGCCCCTCCAGCCAACCACCATACAGAATTGTTATTATGGGGAAAATAAGAGAAGGAAGGACTATTACGTATGTTCACTGCCTTGAATTATTTATAAAAATAATAAAGATGGGATACAAACAAACCCCCCAAGGAGGAAAAACTGATGCATTGTGTGTCATGACATCCCTCAAGATACAGAAATTACATGCCATATTTTATTGTTGACTTATGACACCTGGCACATTACTGAATGTTATTACCAGATACAGGAATTAAACAATTTTTTAGATATTCTATAGCTGTAATTTCTAAGTATTCCCAATTCTGGCACTAATTCTGGCCAGGTGCATGCTATGTTCATCCTAGCTAATGAAAATGAATCAGAAATTTTGCATATTGTACCATTGTTAAAAAAATTAATGGTCTGTAAAAGAAAAGAAGGTAAGAGAAGAAATATTAAATATCTCTTTTTATAATCCCATCTTTATTTGTACCTAGCTAGCATAATTTATTAGGCTTTTTAAAAAAATTAGCATTTAAAAAAAAACTCTGTCCTGCATCCTTTAGTCATTGCCTTGTAGGTTCATTTCCAGGATAATTACATTTGGGAAAGATAATCCTGTGACTGTTAAAACTTTAATTAGCCCAAAACGTTATAAATCTCCCAGCAAGCCTTGCAAGGGAGAATGGACTAACTCAAACTTTTTGACATTTCTGTCAGCTATTCTGAGAAATCTCTTGGAGTAAAAATGAAACTCCCCACTAAAAATAACAACAAAAAATTCTAACCATATATTTGAGAAAAATCCCTCTAAAAAATGTTAAATGAAATTCATTTGAGACTGAATTTATCAGATTTGAAACCATTGCTCATGCAAAAAAGTAGTACTGAACCTTCAATATTAAGAATGATAAACTCTTAGCAATTTAGAATACTGTGACTAGGACAGCAGAAACCAGCTCCTTTTTTCCCATCATAAAATTCAAACATGACAACTTAAGAAAGAAATTATGTTTTTTAAATTACAAATATGTTTCTGAAGCTCCATATGAAGCTATGATCAAAGTGGTGTGGGTGTATATAATTTACCTTTTACAGAGCAGTGTTTTTTCTCACTTTGTTCACATTTTAGTTATATTAAAGCAAGTCAAGAGGTGGCAGAATTTTAAGAGTTCAATTTAAAAATAAAATACTTTCATTTCCCTTTACTACTTAAAAGAAATTAAATGTGTTTTTGTTCAGATGTTCAGATATTATTCAAATGAAGTTTCAAAACCTGATTTATTTAATATATTTTGTCACCAATTACATTATATCAGGAGTATGTCTAAAATGAAATACTCCAAATCCTGAAATATCATGGTAATATAACATTGGGTCTGTTGAGCCCTGCAAGGCTGGTGAGCTCAGGAAACAAGAGCCACTTGCATTTCTGGAAAGGTATTTATTGCTAATAGAGTAATGGGATTTGAAAACCTGATAAAACAACAGGTTAGTCTGTGCCTAGCATAATTAAAGCAGGGTTACTCAGGTCTCTTCTTGCTGCAGTCCCTTTTTCCTGCCTGCCAGACATTGCATCCCAGAGCCAGGTACTGATGTTGAAAAGATATTCAAACTTTACCTTTTCAATAAAGATCTGAAGGAATTTGAGAAAAAGGGATTTGAAGAAGACGCTGTGGCAGTGCTTGGATGTGATATACCTGTACATTTGTTTGCAGATAAATCAATCAATCAATCTACCTACCTACCTACCCTTCATCTCTCTCTCCCTTTCCCTCTCTTTTTCTTTCTCTTTCTCTCTTTTTCTTTCTTTCTTCCTATCTTATCTGTATTTCTATAACTCTATCTCCCTGAAAAATATTTAGAAAAAAAAATTGTTTATACATTATTGTTATCTAATAATAATTCATAAAGGTGAATAGTTAATGTCCTTCTTTTCACCTTGCAAGAAGTCATTGGTTTTTCAATGCTATACATCTACATTCAGTTTTCGTCTTTGTTCCTGTTTCTCCACCCAAGTTACTAATAAGATTCCTTTTGTCTTTCTGTAGATATACATAGTCAGCAAGCAATACAGCCTCTCTTTTTATGTAGCATATCAAAGAATGTGCAATTTTACCTTTTCTTTGGCTGTTTCTTTTGAGTGCTTTTTAGAGGGTTCATAATGCCTTTCAGCAATAATAGTATTTTCCTGATGGCTGAAAAAGGTATAATCCAGCTCTTTACTGGGGAAAGTATGGGGTTGACTGCCAAATAGTTTATCCTGACAGAGACAAGGATGAATGCCAAGTTAAACAGAGCAATAGTACTTTTGTTTCTAGCAAACGACTTGAATTTAAAATGTGGCTAAGCATAAGAGAGTAATGGGGATGAATCAGCACAAAGCTCATGGAAACAACTGAAATTAAAACACACCATTTGGCATCAAATTCATTTAGAAGATAATTGCATGTAGTTATTCAGTCCCTTTAAAAGAAATGTGGGTATGTTTCTCGGCATAAAGAATAGGTTAATGTGGCAATGTAGTATGATTTGATATTACCTGCATAATGCATATTACTTACCAGGTCTCCTCATCAGGAAATAATCAGACCGATAATGAACATTTTGAGCAGCCAAATCCATCTGGCTATATTTTCAGCTTCACTATACCAACTTGTACATAGCAACTGTTGCGTGAAAGGATAATAGAAATGGAGCCCCAGATCCAAAAAGAAATACAAAGGAATTATACAAGTTAAGTCTTTTTTGTGTGTTTTGTCTCCTCAGCAGGAGAAACCCAAACTTCTGGAACCTTTGGATTATGAAACAGTAATTGCAGATATTGAGAAGAATGTTGAAAATGATCGTCTGAAAGACCTCTTTTTGTTCCCTGAAGATGACTTTTCAGTGAGTGATTGGTGTTTACTAACAAAGCTAAAACTTTGTCAAGATGTTCCAGTTTTTATGCCTTGCACCACGTGAGACAGTATTGTGCTCAGCTCGGTTTCCTTTTTTTTAAAAAAAAACCAAGATACCCTGCTTTAGGTAAAAAGAGGATTGATTTGGCCAAATCAAACACAATAGTTTCTTTTCCTGTACTTTGAACTTTTAGATTCAATAGTACTGAAATAGGCATGAAACTGTAGAAAACTAAGAAGCTTTCAAGGTTGATGTTACTCCATCAGGATAGGCCAGATCATGAAACAGATTCTACAAGTTGGCTGGAATCCACTGTATTGCCATAGGCTTCAGTAATAGATCTAGAAAGCCTGATCAAATTTTACCATCCCTCCCTCCTTCCCTCTATACCAGGGGTGTCCAACCTTAGTAACTTTTAAGACTTGTGGACTTCAACTTCCAGAATTCTCTGGCCAGCGGGGTAGACACCACTGCTCTATACTCTAATGAATTAAAGAGAAGTCAGTCTTATTTCTCACATTTCCTTCTGTTTCTTGGTCTCAAAGCATTGTTTCTTCCTCATGTCTCCAAGGTTATCTCCCTGGCTAGAGCAGGGGTGTCAAACTTGATTTCATTGAGGGCTGCATCAGGATTGTGTGACCTTGGGGGGCCTGGGGTGGGTGTGGCCAGGGTGGGCATGGCCAGCTTGACAACACTTGTGTCGGGGGCACCTGTGATGACCCGAATGCTCTCCCAGAGAAAACAGGCTCCTGAGCTCCGTTTTCAGCTGCGCCAGCCTCCTGCAACCGTCTGCCAAGGAAAACAGAGCTCAGGAGGGCCATGTGCAGCCCTCCTGAGCTCTGTTTTCCCTGGTAGGCACCATATACCACTTCTTCACTGTTTCCAGGGCAGCCCCGCGGGCCAGAACTAAGCACCACGCAGGCTGGATCTGGGCTTGAGTTTGACAGCCCTGCTCTAGATAAACCGAGTTTGTGAAAGATTCAACAGACTCTTTCTTTTGGTAACTTAGGGACACATTTTTTTTTATAGGAATTTTTTTTTATTTTTGTTACATAGACAACATAATCACATAACAATAGAAAAAGAAAGGCAGAGGAAAAAAAAACCCACACAAAAAAAAAGAAAACAAAGCCCATCATCCCATGCAGTATGTCATTTGATTACAGGTGTTTTAACCTTTATCATTCTTATACATTCGTCGTTTCATTTAATAGATTTTGATTTCGTATCGTTTCTTACTCCCCTGCCTGTAGCAATCCATCCCTACTACGTTTCCCCCCATACACACACCCCGTATCTCTCTGTTATATATTTAATAGACACCACAATAACCTAGGATTAAAAAAAAAAGGAAAAAACACAAAAAGAGGGAGGGAAAGCCATCATCACATGCAGCATGTCGTTTGGTTCTGTTTAATTTTTTACTGTGATGCTGCAAGTTTGGCAAGTTTTGCAGCTGGCTTCTCTAATACTTGTGGTTAACACTTTCCTTTATTGCCAATATTCAGCTTAGAGTAAAATAACAGAGTTGGAAGGGACCTTGGAGGTCTTCTAGTCCAACCCCCTGCTTAAACAGGAAACCCTTCACCACTTCAGACAAATGGTTATCCAATCTCATCTTAAAAAATTCCAGTGCTGGATCATTTACAACTTCTGGAGGCAAGTTGTTCCATTGATTAATTGTTCTAATTGTCAGGAAATTTATCCTTAGTTCTAAGTTGCTTCTCTCCTTGATTAGTTTCCACCCATTGCTTCTTGTCTTACCCTCAGTTTAGCTTTAGCATTGGTAAGAATAATTATATAAGAAAAAGAACAATAGAAAACATTTCCATCAGCTCCTTGGTGGTTCCCAGATTCTGCCCCATATAACTGCAACATTGGTCCAAAGCACTTTTGCAGTAGTTACCTAATTATAATGATTCCTGAATACAATACCAATAAAAGAATTCTTGAATTAAATACAGTGTTGCATGCTTTTCTCTTAATTGATAATGCCATTCTGGAAATAATTTAACTATTACTTTGACTGTTATCTCCATGATTTCATTTCAGCAGTTTTTCATTGGTAAATGTTAATCTCCATATGAACAGAAGTGTTTTAGCAATTGGGAAGCTAAACTGATGGTATCAAATATGTCTCCACCAACCCATTTTCAATTCGGCAAAGGAACAAAATTTTAAAATGAGCACGTGGAATCTTCTTGCCTTTTCATGTTTTCTTACCCTTGAGGAAGTTATTTCTTCTAAGACAGTTTTCTCCATTCCTGGATTGCCTTCGAGCTATGAAAAAAGAATATGTGTAATAATCTTTACATATAATAAGGTAGACAAAGGATGTTTGCAACAATCTCTTAATGTAAATACAACAACCATTGGTCTTGCAAAACAAAAATGAAATTATAGTGATGCATTAGGAAACACACAGGACAGAGAGCAAATTGTGTAATTCACTTTATTGTAACAGATGCCACAACACTCTGAAACTAAAAAGGTTTTCCAATTTCCTCCTCAGATTTTTCAATCAAAGGTAGCATTTTCCCTAGCAGATCCAAATGTTTAAAATAAATAGAATGTCCATCTGGCTTTCCTGAAGATTATAATAATCTCTTTCAAATTGTATGGGTAGAGATATTCACATGTTAACGTATGTGTATAAATCTCAGTATATATATATATTTATGTACATTTATGACATTATGAAAAATGGTTTGCAGTCCTGTCTCTTAATTGTATCAGATTTGCTGTTAACAATATTTTACTGTTACTATGAATAAATCGTAAGTGCTTCTGTATCACAACTTGAAATATATGTGTAAAGAAATGTATTTAAAGTAATTCCATTACAGATTCAACTTCAGCAGGAAGTTAAAAAAAACAGCAGTTGTTTCCAGGGTTATTGAATTTATTTTTCCATTAAATGTATGTTAAACTGGCAAAACAACCATTGCATTGACAGTTAAAAAGAAAGCTTCATTTCCCAGCTAAGCTAATTTGAGGCTATTAACCCATCTAATTTACTCTGTCAAAACTGAAGCAAAAATTCAGCCTTTGTGCTTCTTTTGATAAAAGTTACCCTTCTCTGAAAGGTATCTTTTCAGAAACATAATAATAGTCCTCGATTCTTAACTAGGTTTATGAGCAGGAATAAAAAGGAATCAGTATTACCCAAACTCTCTTATATGCAACTGATTATGCTGAAATTTTCTTTTAAAAATATCTCAAACATTAATATTCTTAAAATATTTATATCTTGCCATTATTCCATTTAAAGCAATTTACTACAATAATTTGGGTACTATATGTTTCATTAAGGTAATATAAAGTCAGATTTTACTACACTATTTCTAAAAAGGCTTGTCTATCAGTGGGAAAAAACTGGTTTGTTCGCACAGGTATCTATGCATTACTGTCATTCTTATTCCTTGACTATTCAGGATTTATTAGAGGTGGTACACTTCCAAAAGCTGGATGCACAACAATATGTCTGTTGGGTACATTTTTTCCATTTTTTTGTCTATCAGGGAAAGGCACTTTGTGGGTATTGCAAAACTCACTTATTTCAAATAATCCCTCACACCCACCCCCCAAAAAAAACCAGATGCAGAATTATTTCTTATGTATTATTCCAATAGAGAGCCTACCTTTCTGCCTGCAGAACATTCCTGAAAATGGGATGACAATTGATGTATGATTGATCTGTGATTATTGAAAATATGTTTTGCATCCAAATTCCTTAGTAACCATTTAGATGAATTCAACCTTTAATTACTCTATTTCAGGGGTGTCAAACTGGATTTCTTCGAGGGCCAGATCAGCATTGTAGTTGCAGGCTGAGGGCGGGGAATGGGGGGAAGAGATGGGATGGACACCTCCTGCAGCACTCTGACAGCCAAAAATGGGCCATGGGGGCAGCCCATGGGGCCACTGCATAGCCCATTATCAGCCTCCCCAGCTTCCAGAAGCACATTGCTTGCCAAAAACGGGTCGTGCAGAGACCACGCAAGGCCTCCATGTGGCCTGTTTTTGGCCAGCAGAGTGCTGCAGGAGACTGGAGAGGCTGAAAATGGGCCATGGGGCAATGAGCACAGGAACTGAGGGCCGGTTCTTTGATATTTCCAGGCTGGCCCTCCAGGCCACATTTAAGCACCTCATGGGCCAGATCAGGCCCATGGGCCTTGAGTTTGACACCCCTGTCCTATTTGATTACCTGTGTTATTTATCATTCTTTGATGCTCAGGTGTGAACTTTTTTCTCTCTTTGTTGACTTCTCATTAGATAGCCACAATTCCCTGGGAAATAAGAACACTGTACTCATCAGTTCCTGTAGATGCAGAACAAAAGGCAGAATATTTATTTGTGAAAGAGGTAAAGTTATCATTCTTTATTCTACTTAATCTTGAATATGCATTTTTTCAGGATATTTATTTTAAAAAATAATACAGCATTGTAACTTTCAACATCATGATCTCCTCCCCACCTTCCAGGAATTGTTTTTCAGCTTCAGACATTAATGCTATGTTGTATCTGTTACTTGGCAATTGTTCTGTAGTTCTTCCTAGATATGTATTTGACACATGGTTGTGTCAGCACCTTGCTGTTCTTGGTTAGATACTTGTATTGTTTGTGTTTGGTTTGTCTTTGGACAGAAGAATATATCAGACCAGTGATGATGGTTATTTTTTTGAAATATTTAATTGAGTATAATGAATCAGTTTTCAAGGTTATTTTGCACAAAGTTTAATTCATAATTGGGATTGTATTTGAATTATTTGAAGAGAGAGATCAGGGGGAATTTGTGGTGGACTGTACTAGTCTGGTTACACAGGAGGGAGAGGGTCCATTCCAGAGAAGTAAGTGACAGCTCAATTCAGATAATTTGCCTGAGAGAAAGAGGACGAAGACAGCCCCCCTATCAGTTCTCTGAATATAGGCTTATGAAGATAGCAGTGTGCTTTAGTTTGGCAAGATTCCATCTACAGGTGTAGATGGTTCTGGGGTTCTGAAAGAATTTGCTTAAATGGAAATGGAGATATAAATATTTAGGTTCTTATATCTCTTAACTTTAAGTGGCCTTTTGCTGATTAATCGGGAGAATTGAAGATTTAGATATGGGTTCACTTGAGATCAAGAACGAAGAAGTATTGAGGTGTATTTTAAGAGACAACAAATAAAAGCTAATGTTGTTGGAGGTAAAGGGGAAAGTTTCTTTTTATTTTTTTCATGTACAGGGTGTTTTCTTTGCACTAATGCAGAGTTCCCAATCTTTCCGGCTTTATGGAACTATCCTATGCTATATGGGAAAAGGAGCTTGTAAGGTAAATTAAAAGGAGCCAAAATTCTGAATCATTATCTTATTCTAGTTCTAATTATTGGGGAGGGGGGTTGTCATGTTTCACAGACTGTGATAATCACCCTTACAACAATCAGATTTTTTAATACTGATAATTTTTATAGTGTTATAAAAATTTAGGAAATAAACATCAGACAGCAGATGGGGTATTCTTAGATGATTAATATCATTCATCCTTGATATGTGGACTCCCAATACAAGCTTCTGTAATGAAGTCTGTTGTGTTTGAGAATATATACGACAACTCTATCTTTAAGATTGTGGAGCAGTTTTCATTGAGCATTTCCTATTTTCAAGAACTTATTTTGATAACAGCATAAATATAGTCTCCCAGGAAGTGTTCTTTGTAAGTTTGCACTTATACAAGACAATCATATTGATTCAGGAATAATAAGATCAGTTTAAATTAATCAAAGATTATCAATGAAACCTAGAGTTAAATTCATGATTTTATAGTCAAGTGAAAATAAAGAATGGCGTCAATGAGAGTATTTTAGTGTTCTGAATCAACAGGTAGAGTATTTTATGGAATAAAACAATGCTGTCCAACAACACTAAAAAAATGACTTATATCTGGTCCTTGCACTTATGACCATCACAGCATACTCATGTTACATGATTAAAATTTGGGTGCTTGACAATCTGTACGTATTTATGATAGTTGCAGTGTCCCCGGGTCATATGATCACCATTTGCAATTTTCCCAGCCAGCTTCCGACAAGCAAAGTCAATGGAGGGGGGGATCTAGATTCACTGGATTAACAGCCACATGATTCACTTACCAAGTGCAGTGATTTGGTTAAGAACTGTGGCAAAAAATGTGATAAAATCAGGCACAACTCACTTAACGACCACATTGTTTAGCAATGGAAATTCTGGTCCCAATTGTACTGGACAGTAACTGAGATAAATTATTGTATGGGTTGGAGAGAAGCAATCTTACCATGCTTATTGCTGAGCTAGACCAGGAGTCCACCAATTCCTCAGCTCATGATCCCTTCATGAGTTTTCACATTATTCAAACATGTATTTTATGAAAATAATTTAATAAATACTGCTTTATGATTAGCAATATGAATAATACTAACAATAATGGTTAATGCATTGACCTGGTGGGAGAGGGTCAATAGTCACCAACTGAGAGAACTCTGAACTAGCCATTCATGTGCTATTCACTGGCCAGGCATGTTTCAGATGCTTATAGGCCAGTGATGGCGAACCTTTTTGGCACCGAGTGCTGAAAAGGGAGCACTTTGCATACACTCATCTGGGCCGTGACCCGGAAGAGGAGCTGCCCAGGGTGCATGAGCATGCCAGAAAATGTATGTGCATGCACGCTAACCAGCAAGACTTCCAGTTACTACTGCACATGCGCACACACCAATCAGCTGGCCGGCATGCATGTTCATGCTGGAAAACGGAAGACCAGTTCTTCCAGTTTCCAGCACTGCTGCAAGCACAAAGGCCAGCTGATCGTCGCTTGCGCATGTGTGCCAGAAACCTGGAAGAGGAACAGGTAACGTGCGTGCCAGGCCATATGGCTCCATGTGCCACTTCAGGCACGCATGCCATAGGTTCACCATCTCAGTTGTAGGCTATATATTGCCTCCTGCTTTTTCTCTCATTGAAGCAAAAAGCATTTTTACCATGTGCATATCTTAAAATAGTGGTCTGACTTAACTTTATTGAGGAGTCTCTCTTAAATAGAATGTTGTCATTAAGACCCTCAAATCAAAGTTCAATAGAAGAACTTCACACATCATGACTTTTGTACACTCATGGAAGCTGTTTTCCTGGTTTTGCTGAACTCCTGAGTTAGCAAGCGCTGACTTTGACAAAGTATCCTGTTTCTAGCTATGATCTTCAGAGAATGATCAGGACCTTGAAAACTTCAAAAACTGATGCTCAGCATAGTTCTGGCTTCACTGTCTTTCTTGGAGTACAGATTCATTTCAAAGTAGAATCGACACATTTTTTTTTATTTGGAAAATATTGCAAACTGATGCAATGGTTAAGGGAATTATGATTTCAGTGGGAATTAATGGAATTATGCCAGGATATAGTATTTAAAGTATCTGCTTAAACTGTAAGGCACATATTCCACGTATCATCGTCAGGTCTTTTATCTATATAGCCAGCACAAAGCTATGCCTCAGCACAAAATTTTAGTTGTATGTGGATTTTCTTGCCTTTTATATGATGACCATAATTGCCAAAGTTCAGAATGAGGGTATTCTGAGTTTCATCACTCTTCCTAGTATATTCTCCTCATAATAAAATATTCCATTATTTTAATTATTCCATATATCTTATTTCATATTTCCAAGATAAGCTATATATTTCCTTATTTTATTTTATTCTGTCTACTTTGATTTTCCTCCTAGTTCTGAAACAAAATCTCTCCCCTATTTATAATAGAAATAGTATTAACATTTCTTGCCAAACATTCTATGCTAAGTACACCTTGCCATCTCATAAAGAAAAGAATAAGCCACATCTTATATGTTTGGTATTGAGGCTATAGTCCCCTCTCCCAGATTCCAGGTAATCTCAAAAAGGGATGCGATACCTCAGCAAAAAACAGAAGAAATGCTCTAAAATGAAGTCATGCAAATTAAAACTGCAATTAAATTAACTTGAAATATTTAAATTAAGTGGCATTGTACAAACAGCATATGTTGGTTCATAGACAGAAAGACTAATCTTGTCAGTAAAAACCTTAGAAAAGTTAGTCAGAGAGTAGTAGACTCTGCAAAATCTAGTGAGAGCTTACTTTTAAATTGGTTTTGAAAGATATTATTTTTAAGTTAGAGAAATAAACTTCCTGCCTTGGTTCATCACAATATCTCTGTGATGATGGGCAATTTGGAGCCTGCTGTACTGCAAATCCCACATCCCTTCTCTTTCTGCCTTAATCATGTTTTGGGGGAGATACTTGAAATGTTATTGTAGTGATTTCTAATCTGTGAGGTTAACCAGTTGAAAGAGTTAGTGTTGTTTACAGTTCTCATTATTTCCATCCAATTTGCCAAAAAATAAAGAAACAGCAGGCCTCTGATGTAGCCAATGGTTGAATCTTTTATTAAATTGAATGTCAGTTTAAAGGAAATGTTCTTCTCTTTGGGTCTTGCATATTAAATGTTAAATGTTTCTACCTTTAAGTCTGGAATTTGAGCTGGAACCTTGCTGCTTAATTCACTTTATATCAAATTCTCCATCACTCATCAACTACATTTGTTTAATTTGTGAATTAAACACATTGAAATGAAGACATTATTTCATAAAAAAATAATATTTAGGGTTCTCTGCTATAGAATTTGTTTTCTTTTTGTATATAATGAATTTATTAATCTTTTTCTGAAAAACATGCAATCTTTCCTTGTGTCATCCTTCGCCCTTGAAAAACTGGTTGCATAAACCCAAGTGGGAGTGTAGCACATAAAAAGAGCAAAAGGGAGGAAAAAGTAAAGAAGATATACCACACCATCTACCTCCAAATCTATCAACCATAAGGTTGATAGATTTGGCCAATCTTCTCCTGTCAGGGAGAGAAAAAACACATCCCAATGACCAAAAAGCTGACAGAGAAATCAATGAAGCACAGAGCTGCTTTTGTAGAGAAGTAGAAATAACCATCTGATAGGATTAATTCATCTGAAAACAAACCCCCAACCAATACTAGATGGCAGATAAGAAATATTGTTTAGAGATATCTCATTGTTTGTTGACAAGCTGTCTTCATCCTGATCTTTGCAGTCTAGATCTGATAGCCCTACCTTGTGACCTAGTCTGCTGTTGCTATTTCTTTCACATGGGCTTGGAGTGTGAGCATGTGATCACATGCTGTTAATAGAGCCAAATATGCCATTGTAACATGTTTTTCTTTTTGTATCCCTAACCTGGTACCCTTGGACTAATTTGACGCCTAGAGTGACCCAATTTTGTCTAGAGAATTAAATCTAACACATCTGTGGAGGAACACAGTTGTTTCTATATGAAAAAGATAATTAGTTTTATTTCTGTTCTTGATTTGTGCTTCCAGTATTTATCTGTAGGGTGTTTTTCCTCTCCCAGTATCTCCTGGTTGATATATGCCAGAAAAATATCAAAGGGAATTTCAGAACCAGTGGCCTTTTCCATCTAAGTCTAGAATAACAACTCACATCAACTTTATACTTATTATATTTTATAAATGTCGATAGGGTGCTAAGTGGGATAAGCAATTTGTCTATTTATATTTCTAGGATTTGTAACTTTCTCTAGTTTCTAATTAAGTAGATGGGCAGGAACAGATTTCCTGAGACATTTTGCGCACATTATGGCAGAACAATCCAAATTTTTCATACTTTTTAAAGTTTAAGTCAGGCAGTTAATATTATTGGAGTGTTCTTTTTATTTTGCATATACAAGCTGTGCAACTTCTATGAATGCAATTCCTTCTACTAGTGTATAAGAACTGATACATTGTACATGCCAGTTTTGAATCAGTTTACAAATACTGAAGCAGGCAAGGATATAATTGAGAATTAAGTCTATGTTGGTTCCCTACTTTTGCATAACTGTGACATTGTCTCATATATAACAGCAGTGGCAGACATAGCAGCAAAAGAGAGAGCGAAAGAAGGAGAAAATTGCCTATTTCTTTAATAATGTGCTTTTTGTCTGTCGCCTACTAGAGAATGAAAAAAATGTGGGTTCTGTTCTATTCCAGATCTAACTCACTGAATGAGCTTTCTCACAGGCTCAGATAGTACATGTTACTGATAATCAAATGTACATACACTATGTAACCCAAACCTTTGACAAACTGAGATAAAAATGTTCTTGTTCTGCCAATCACCGTTGAAAAGGCTGGTCCTATTGCATTTTATTAAACTCGCATTGCACTTCTTAGAAAGAAAGAAAATCCCAGCAAACCAATATTGGAATGTATTACTCCTCATTAGTTTATACTTGATGCAGCCACATATATAATTAGATAATAGTGTACCTACTTAGCATACCACAAAACTTGGTCTCCTTGTTACCTCATTATTTAAGTACTATAGTGTTTTTTTGTTTTTTTGCATAAATTGCAAAAGAAAAGCTAAAAATTACTTCTTTAAACGAATGTTGACAAATGAGATGGTTGTCTTTATCGACATACTATATTCTCCATAGCATTTAAATACAAAATGTGTGGCAGAAGCTCCAGTTTTCCTGATCATGAGCAAGCCTGCTTTAGGGATTTGCAATGAGCTACAGATTTATATTTGATTGATGCTTTAATACATCAACAAGAGATTTCAAGAGGCTCAAAAAACAAATTCATACTCTGGAAAACAAACCTCTGGGGTGATGTAGAACTGAGTAATTTTTATGTGGGAGAAAATATGACAGTTAAATTGCAACTGAACTGCATTATAGGCACAATACATATTATAAGCAAAACTGGAGTTTTTTCATTGCTTTCAGTGGAATGTAAATATTATTCACAGAAATAATATGTAGTATTAGGTAAACAAAGACAATATGCTTTTGAAAATATAAGAAAAAGCTTAGAAGTTTTTTTTTCATAAAACAAAGCTGTGTTAGGCCTTGCAACAACTAATGATTCTATGCTTGTTTGATCAAAATTGTATCTGCAAAACCTCTTTAAGCTGTGTTGTTCAGTGATCTAATCTCATATGTGCTTCCCAGGATTGAAACACAATTACCTTTTTGAATTGTTTTTATTTTGCTAATGTTACCATTCAGTTCTGAGGTCTATAAATTGCATACCAAAATACTACAAAGTTATCTACAAAATGCTTATATTGGCAACAGATGCATATAAATGTACGTTTGTCACCTGTATACAGACAAGTTTTTTCCCAACCAAGCCTAATTGATTTCCTTCTTAATCTAATATTTTCTTCTGTATTGTTTTAGGCATGTAAATATTACAGTTCTCAATGGCATACTGTAGACTACAAATATGAACAGTATTCAGGAGATTTTAGACATCTACCACAGTAAGACATTATGCTTTCTCACTTTTTTTCTTTTAAAATATTAAGTTTAAATATAATTGTCTTGGTCACCCAGAACAATTGCCTCTAGTCTCCAATAAATTATCTAAGGGCACATTACACCCTCGTCAGTGTCTCTTTGCACTTCTACCATCAGGCAGAAGGCATCAAAGTATAGCCAGCTGAAAAAACAGGTTTAAAGCCAGTTTCTATCCTTGGGCTGTGAGACTTTTAAATACAACCACAATCACTCCATGAACACGCTAGTTTTTTTTCTTTTTCTTTCTTTTTTCATTTCTGTTATAATTTTGCATCAGTGAGGTTAAAACCAATTTTGTTGCATTTAAGTACAATGACAATAAAAAGTATACTTATACTTATTATGCAAACATTTCATGTTATATTATCATGTCTTAATGTTCTAATAAATGCATAATTGTGCTGGAATTTAATACAATCAGATAGCAGCTGTCTTAAAGAGTTATTTCAATCTCACAGATCCCACAATTCAACCCTGAGGTATAAATATTGATGCTTTAAAGAGTTGTAGACAAGTCCTTTCTCGTATCCTGTTCCAAAACACCCTTCGAATTATTTCCAAAGTTCTATATAAACTATTGTATATAAGAGGATATTCTGAATTCTATTATCCTGCAGCAGCCCTTTAGTCTTATTAAAACAAAAGCTTCATCTAGAACAGGGGTGTCAAATCCACATCGTCAAAATGGCATCACATGATGTATCAGGACTTTTTTCTCCTTCGCTAACCAGGAGTGGCCATGGCCAGTGCATTCAGCCCACAGGCTGGGAGTTTGACAGCACTGATCTAGAAGGTGAAGGCTATACTTTAAATGAAACTATTTTTCACAAGGAGAAAATATTGACCTAGGACCAGCATAGACTTGAAGCTTTGAATACTTCCATTTTTAAAAAAATATTAATTATACCTTGACTTGAATTATGAGCAAGAATAGTATGAACTAGAATTGGGTAGTTGTATTATGATGGTGGTATAACTGAAATTTGAAACACTGTACTTGGCTGATTCAATTGTTTCCATATCTGGAGGCAAGTTGCATTAGCAAATACACAGGGAGAAATATAGATTTGGAGATGTCAGCTATGCTTAGAAGCATATTTTAATAGAAAGGAAGCTTCTACTTTTCTAAAAATACATCTTTGAGGAAGCAAATAAATGATGTGGCTCATTTGGAGACAAAAAGTCTGGCATAGATTTTAAGGACCAAATTCATGCATCATATTTTATCCTGAGAAGTATAGAGTATTTTGTTCACTTTGCAGTCATGTGTTTAGCAACCAGCATAGGACTTCAATTAATAGCTGACTCCTAGGACTTTTTTTTTTTAACAAACTGCATTTTTAAAAGGAAGAAACAACTTTTCATACTATTTTTATCATTAAAGGGGCTTGTAATTAAGGCTAAACAAAACTCAGTGTTTAATACTTCAATAATGCATAAAATTGTCAACCATAAACCATACTGTCATGCTTTCAAAACATAAGGGAAAAAAAGCATGGCTCATTTTCCACTTTATAAGCAATGTGCATAATTTGCATTTACTAAAATAAAAATGCATAACTGAGATATCAAATCTATTGATCTGTTATGTTGATGATACTTAGCCCAATTTGTGTAATAGTTAACTAAAGGCACATGACTTTAGTGAGAATTATTCTGTAATGCATGTTCTTTGAAATATAGTTTAGTTAAATATTTAATCAAATATCTCAACTGGAATCCAATAATAATTCTGGCTGTTATTCCTCCAGTCAACATCATTTTCCCAGATGAGAAAAACAAATTCTTGTTTAGCTTCTCCTCTAAATCTCTATGATAGATATCTGTAAAATGGATAGATTGCAATATCATTTATTTGTTCAATTTATGATACATCTTTCTACCCCAGCAAGAACTCAGGGTACAATACAGAATACAGACTCAATCAAAGTTAAAAGCCTGATAAAAGGAATGCAGTATTACATATGTTGTGAAAGCTAAGTGGAGGCCCAATGCAATTGCCAAATTAAATGCATTCCATAGCCTGAAAGCAACTTTGAAGACTCTCTGCCCAGTGTCAGAAAGATGAATCTGACAGTGAGGAAACCCTCAAACAAGTGTCTTCTGCAGATCTTAACAACTAGATAAGTTCGTCATATAAAAGGTGGCCCTTACATAATGAATTTTTAAACGATGTATTTTTCTGTGACAGTTTTTCCAGATTGGGTGCCCCAATTTTAGAAATTTCCCATTTAATAACTGAAAAAAGGTTCATTGCATATCAGTTATCTTCAGTGAATTAGCCATAGCCCTATCTAGTCATTTTGAGGAAAGTATTATGAAAGTGTTCATTTCTGTTGCAGAATGCATTTGCACTCATAAAAGTAGTATGATGTTTTCTGATTAATGTGGTGGGTTTTGCTTTGCTTAGGGAATTAAAGGTTTAAAAGATTTGCCTTTTTCTGTAAATAACTATTACACTGCATCTTACATTTCTTTCCATTGTAACTGAAAGGCATGAAACAGCCAACACATAAGGGAGAATGGACTAAGAGGCAATGTAAAATGCATTTGGATTGTAATTTAAAAAATATTTTTAACACTTCTGTTAATGTCTCTAGAAGCAACTGAGGAGTACTTCAAATATATTCAGATAATAATTTTCTCACTAATTTTGAGTCTTTTTTCTATATGGTTTATTTTTATTATACTCACTAAGCACATATTTAATACTAAGATATGTAACCCATGCCCTACTCAATGCAAGAAATCCATTATAGGATGCAACTAGAGGATTCACTTAAGGGTTATCCATTTCCAGTGTAGAGCAGTTCTATTTTTATGTTGTTATGTTGTGTTATGAAATTAAACTATTATATGTTGTGCCTTGTTGGGTTTCACTCTACATTTTTAATTCTTGTAAGTAATCAGTGATATAGCAGTAGCACTTAGGTTTATATACTACTTCATAGTGCTTTACAGTGCTCTCTAAGCAGTTTACAGAACCAGCATATTACTGCCAACAATATGGGTCCTCATTTTACTGACCTCAGAAGGATGGAAACCTAAGTCAACCTTGAGCCAGTCAGGATCGAACTCCTAGGAGTGGACAGAGTTAGTTTTCAGTACTTCATTCTGTACCACCACAGCTTCATAGTTCTTTATAATGTAGCAAAATATTTGGTACATATATTAACAGCACCACTAAAAATGTTCTTCCTTAGGCATGAATACAGACCAGAGAAACTTCCTTCACATTCTTTTGAAATTGATCATGAAGATGTTGACAAGGATGAAGTAAGCATATGACTGTCCACTTTCATTTTATTGTTCCTAAATGCTTTCAGATCTAGTAGAGAAGGTCCAGATCCCCAGCAGTGTCATGTGATGTGGCTTAGGAAGTATGCCTTCTTTGCTACAGTTCCTGCCCTTGGAAAATCAAACCACCTAAAACTTTTTGGCCTGCAACAAAGTCCAGTTTTTGTCCAACACTGGGCCCAGGATGTTAATGAAACCCAGATGGAACTATATGAGATATATAGATGATAGATAGATGATAGATAGATAGATAGATGATAGAGAGATAGAGAGATAGAGATAGATGATATAGATATATGCTTCATGTGGATTTTTTAAAATCTATTTTTGTTTTAGGTTTTGTTGTTATTGTTCTGGTAGATGGATAGCTAGCTAAAGCTAAAGGTTCCCCTCACACATATGTGCTAGTCATTCCTGACTCTAAGTAGTGGTGCTCCATTTCAAAGCCGAAGAGCCAGCACTGTCCGAAGACATCTTCATGGTCATGTGGCCAGCATGACTAAATACCGAAGGCGCACAGAACGCTGTTACCTTCCCCCCCAAAATTGATTCCTATTTTTCTAATTGCATTTTTACATGCTTTCGAACTGCTAGGCTGGCAGAAGCTGAGACAAGTAATGGAAGCTCACTCCATTACACAGCGCTAGGGATTCGAACCCACTGAACTGTTGACCTTTCTGATCAACAAGCTCAGTGTTTTAGCCACTGAGCTACCACGTCTCTATAGCTATATAAATTTGTTGAATAAATAAAAATATTTTCAGTTTTTGAAAGGAAACACATTTTCTAAAGAAAATTATATATCTAACAGTTCTGAGAGGTGATACTATTATTGGAAAGTGCATAGCTATAAAAATTTCAGGATGTTCTGAGTTTTATTTTTGAAACAAAATCAAAGAATATTAATGTCTTTCAATCAGGATACAACATCTCACTCATCTTCGAAAGGCGGTGGAGGAGGAACTGGAGTTTTCAAATCTGGCTGGCTTTATAAGGGAAATTTTAATAGCACAGTAAATAATAGCATTACAGTTCGGGTAAGAAAATTAATACTTTTTCTATTGTAAAAGAAGAGCAATGTTAGTTTCTGTTGGTAAAAAAAATATCAGAAGAAGCCTAATACCAAATTCGTTTTCATTGTTTAATATCTGTCCTCTGACTTAATTATCATCATTTTTTTCTTTGTATATTCACTTGTTTGCTTAGCTCCAAAATGTAATTAATGAAACTGTTTCAGTTTCAGTAAATATGAGTATTTACCTAGACATAAGCAGTACTAAATTCAATGGATGGTTCGAAATAAGCATGCGTACTGTTGCAGTGTAAATGACATTAAAGTGACCAGTTCCATTGTCATTCATTCATTATTCTTCTTTGTGATTATTAGTGGTGTTTTATTTTCAGTTTTCTATGAATTAAACATCTGTTCAGAAATAATTTGTGTTACAGCCAATTCTGTTTCTTATTTTCACATAGTCGTTCAAAAAGCGCTATTTTCAACTGACACAATTATCAGACCACTCGTATATAATGAACTTTTATAAAGATGAAAAGATCTCAAAAGAGCCCAAAGGCTGCATCTTTTTGGATTCCTGTACAGGGGTGGTGCAGGTAAGTCAGCAGTTTTCAAAATATAGCTAGATTTACTGCATGAGTGTCATTATTGCCTCTGCATTTTCTCAGCCATTTTTAATTTTAACAGTTTTTTGCTCTTGAAGAATAGAATCTTGATAAATATCCAGGGGTTGGTTGCTACGAATTTGTCCAGGTTCAGGACAACCAGTAGCTCATGTTATAGCCGGTTCGGAGAACCTCCAAATCCCACCCTTGGCTGGCCACGCCCACACTGCCCCTCCCAGGAATCTCCACATGGCCCATTTTGGATGCAAGGTAAGTGCAGGGCCCACACGGAGGCTCAGGGAAAATGGACCTCCTGGAAGTTCTGGAAGGGCCTCTGGAGTCTGGGGGAAGCAATTTTTGCCTTCCCAGAGGCTCAAGGAAGCCTCTGGAACCTGAAGAAGGTAAAAACGCTCCCTCCTGACTACGCCACACCCACCATGGCCATGCCCACCCAGCAACCGGGCAAAGAACCCGTTGCTGAAATTTTGTAAATATCCCTTCTCTCCTAAACACATTGTATAATATGTTATTTTCAGAACTTCTCATTGCCCATATGGTAATCTCATTGCCCTATGATAATTCCCAGCTTTTCATTGTAAAAATCAAAACTAGCTTTCATCCTAATTAATTTTTCCATATGTATAAATAAAAGGACTTGCAATTATGCCACATACCAAAAACAAACAAGGCTTTTTTTTCTTAGCAAAAATTCATAATTCAAAATTCTCCTTCATTTTTCAGTCACTGAATAACTTAATGTAACTTGTTATCTTTCCACCTATCCAATCTTGTCATCTAACAGAATAGTCATATTTTCCAGACTGTCTCTGTGCAGAATGTTGAACAATATCTTCCAAGATTCATCTTCTTTCATTATCACCATTTCTTAGAGTACAGCAACCTATGATTTTTTTTCTCCTTACTGGAATTTTGTATATAAAATGGAATATATCTTAAAATTTCTAGCGTGGCTTTTCTTTCATGAACAAAATTTCCCGTGACATCTCAAATGTACCACGATACTTTGTTTTTGTATGAGCAGTTTAATAAAGCTCCTTAGTCTTAGAAAAAAGCCTTTACATTTGTTGTTGTTGAATGGTTGAACGTTTGAAGTTAATATCAAATTCAATTCTGCCAGAACGGTAATCCTGAGACAGACTTCAAACACAAGATCTGGTTCGCATATTTCTGAATCCCAATAATAGAAAAGCCCTTTTATACAAAGTAAAACAAAAACAAAAACCCTTTTTTCATTATTTTCCTCTTTATTTCAAAAGTAAAGCTTGTGTTTCTCCTGTTGCTTTCTGTTAGGGAATAAAACTTGACTTCTGTTGAATTATCCATGCTCTTTTGCTGTGAGTTCTTTAAGAAGATCTAAACAATTTTCTTATTACCCCTGATGTGGGTCTATGTGCTTCTTTAAAAGAATAAGTTCTAGGTAAAATGGCTCAGACTAATCAAGAGGTTCAGAGACTTTTGAGATAATTCTGGTGTGCATAGAAAAATCAGTGTGCATAACCATTTCTCATTTCAATTACACAGAAAAGCTACCCAAATAGCTTTTTAACGCATGCCTAATGAGATTTTCCAGATCATGTTTACATTTTAAAACTGTACCCTATTTGCCTTTGCCAAATGGAGAGAAAAGACACAAATATTTCCTGTCCCATGCATTGCCTCTGATTGATTACAGTATCTAACTTAGTTATAACTGGTATTCTTAGCTTTTAACTACATAAGATGCAATACAGGTTTTATCCAGTTTGCTTGTAAAAATGCTTTATATTCTATTTGCTAAAAAGGATGGAATTTTCTAGAACAGTCCAAAGGGCATTGTGTTCAAAGATTTTTTTTCTTTCTTCTATAAACAATGCAGAACCATTTATTTAGTATTTAATTTTTATATTACTGAAAGTACAGCATCCTTAGCAGTACATAAGTAAATCAAATACAAATCAAATTCACTACACTTGGTGCCAAGCCATTTAGAGCTTTTTAAATTAAAACCAGCAACCAATATTTTAAATTGTACCAAGAAATGTTTTGGAAACGGGTGCCTACCCTATAATACCTCCATAACGCATTACTGATGTCTACCGCAAGTCATCAAATAGCAAAGATCCATTTTTACAGCATATACCAAGGGATAGTGTGGCGTATCATTTAATTCTGTAGTTTATTATCACTAAGAAATGTTTGTTTTGTCTTGTTAACAATTTGATAACATTCATTTTAAAAGTCTTTAGGCTAATATCTTAACACAAATCCATCCTTTAGTTTATTAATATTTCTCCAGTGAAGATTTTGCTGTCTTCTTTTAAGCATGCTTTATTATTTTTCAAATATTCTCTTTTACCATTTTTGTGCTTTCTTTGTAGTTAAAAGTAGTTGCAATTGATTTTTATGTCTCTTATTAAATCATTAAATTAACATGTTGGCCATATTTAATTAATGTGATCAGATTTTAATTACATTTAAATTAAGTTTAATATTTTGTCCTGATCTATCTAATTTTTGTCCAAATCTTACCCACTTCTTCGGCATTAACCCCTCCTTCCCCCAGTATTATTCAAATATCATACCCTTGAAATGTTACCTAATTCTACTGTTAAATACATGGAATAAAATCTTCCACAGCTCTAATAGAACCTGTATTCATAGCTGATTCGCATATTATCAGAAGAACTAGACTAAAACAAACTTAGACAGTATAAAAATTGAAGAAGAGCAATTGCTCAAATTAGTGTGTGGCTTAAGGAATGGGTAATTCCATCTCTAACATAAACTGATCCAAGTCTAGGGTAGCTGCTGCAAACTATCTGAAGTGGTATTTCTGACATTCTTTTTGCATGTTCTAATGTTGAAGTTTAAATTAAATGTGGGAAACAGTTCAGTTCTCTTTTTTTTAAATGCATTTGAAAAAAATTATGTTAACTTAGCTGCAGAAGTAAACATTTTGCTAAATATTTGGGAATGTGAAGCTTTTGCATTACATCTTTTATTCCTTTAAAGATACTGATTTCTTGCTATATTATATTTATAATGCACCAAGCAAAATCCTTTTTAAAAAAAAATGTTCTAGCACATTCTGCTGTTGAATTTGAACAATTTCATACACATGAAAAACACAATATAGAACATATGGATAGTATAGAACATATACCAGTGGTATATCTTCCTTGTTTTGGAATGCTATCTATGCATTTGTTTATACATTAGCCAAGTCTTGGCTCCTTTCAGTTAGTGTGTTTCCTTCTCTATCAGTTTCCCTATGAAATTAGGTCATTGACAGGACATTCATTATAATTTCTTTCTTCTTTGAAATTGAGTGGAAAGAACCTTTCCCTAAACAAGCAAACAGATAGTCTTTCTTTATAATATTAATCTTCCAATAAGCTTGGCAGATTTCATTTTATTTCTACTGTCAAAACTGTTTACATTTCTTTAAAAATTCAGCAGACTTAGTAGAGTAGGTTAAATATGAAGGATATGCTTTGTAGTTTAACAGATACTTTGCAGATTTTATTTTCAGAAATTACTTGTCTTATATTTTATTATAATGGACTTCCTTGGTTTAAATTCTGTTGATGTTTTGCAAGAATCAGATGCAAACCATACAGCTAAAATAATAATTCCTTAATAGGTTAGAGACAATGTAGCCACTATATATTGAAATATATATATTTCAAATGAATTATTCATTCAGCAATGCAAATGCTACCTATTGCTTTGCAGGACGATTATTCCCTCCTCCCCATCCATGATTTTGCCCTAGTAGCTTTTCTTCATTTGTATCATTTATTTTAACCTACTGAAACATATAACAGAAGTTGAAATTGAATTGGAAAGATGAAAGATGGAGAGAAACCAAATTGCACAAAGTCAATACTTTCCCACTTAATATAACACTTTAATCCCAAAATGTAAAAACAAATGTGGAATTCTTGCAATTTCTGACCAATTTAGAAATTTTCAGACAACAGACATTTTGAATTCTTTTCAAAGTTGAGCTGCACATTCATTCTTCAAATGTACAAAGGGGATAGAGTAGATATATATGTTGCAATCTACCAGTTTGGAACTGTTTGTGAGAAACTCTGGTGGTTCAGTTTTTCTTTCCTTTGCTGTACTGCTGGATCAGTTTAGGGGAAGAGATACATACGATCCAGCTGCTCTCTTCAGCTGGCAGTAGCTGAAAATATTTATCAAGTGTCTAAGCAGCTGTCTTATTTGAATTATTTTACATGGGACTTTCCAACATGTTACACTGAAAGCAATTTTTTAGCAAACATTTGACAGTTCTGTGTAATAGAAAGCAGGTGCAAACCATACTATAGAACCTGCCGATAATGTTTCAGACATGTGTCGTCTCTTAACAAAGCCGCTGCCTGCCCTTGAAACAGTAGTTGGGAATCTGGGAACCTTAAATCAAGGACTTTTCAGAGACAGTGCCAATCCTTCAAGAACCCTGTAATTGTCAAGAGTACCTTGATGGGAAAACAACAACTCTTTTTGGGATTCAGCTTCAGCCTGTTCACCCAATCCAGACTCCAAAGCCTTCAGGCACTGGAACAAAACATCAAAAGCATCCCCTGCAGGTGTTCCTCACCAAGATTATATTCAATATTGTGCATGTGTGCGTGTGTGCATATGTGTGTAAAAATATAGACTTCTGAACAAAACTATAGAAATAAAGAATGCAGCTGTAAAAGGACCCATATGCACATTTGCACAATAAGCATACATGCACTGGATTGATTTTAAAATTGTCTTTTAAAAATGTTTATATGTTGCTTTTACAATGTTCAGAGAAAAGCTCAACTACTACAATAATTTTTATGGAGAACTCTGAAAGATTAAAAGGATATGAAGAGGTACATACCATCTAGAATCTCTGCCCTTTTTTAACATTTAATAGTCATTGTTTGTCATCAGCCACACTGACATATTTCTGAATATTGCCACATTTCCCCCCTAAAAGCTTCTTAAATTAGAGCTCTTTCTCCCTCCAAGCTGAACATACCTGACAGGGCTGCTATACAAATAAAAAAGTATGGAGAATAGGTTGACCCCACTCTCCTCTCTGTGACAACCTCACAAATCTTGAAAGGTTGCTATCACATCGCCCATAATCCTTTTCTTTATTGGATTAGACATTCTCAGTTTCCCCAACCGTTCATAATACAGTTTAGCCTTCAGCTCCCTAATTATCTTTGTTGCTCTTTGCATTCTTCCTAGAGTCTCAACTTCTTTTTTCTATTGTTATGGCCAAAAACTGGATGCAGTATTCCAAGTGTGGTCTTATGCCAGTGCAGTATAAAGTGATACTAACACTTCACGTGATCTTGATACTATCCCTCTGTTGATGCAGCCTAGGCCTACATTAGCATTTTTGGCAGCTGCAGCACACTGCTAGCTCACGTGAATGCCAGCTTGAATCAACAATGGTATATAAGTGTAATTGTGTCTTTTCTTACTTCTCTTCAGCCAAGCATGGGCAATTCAGTAACCGTAGATAAAATAATGTCCCTGAACATCTTATTCATCAGCTTTTCCCATGAAACATACTTCAAAAAAAATCTTACTGGTTTCAAGTGGAAACATAAAATAAGAAAGTGTGCTATGTCCTTAAATAAATTTTGAATATAAAAAAATTACAGTAATTAAATATCTATGATGAAAATATATGATTTACTTTTATGATGAAACACTGTCATTAATTTTCTCACCCTGTGTTGCCTCTGGCATTAAAAATAGCAAATGATACCAAGCCGCCAAAAAATTCCTTAGACCTGCATTAAAAGATAGCGGATTTATTTGTTCTAATTAATTAACTTTTTCCAGATGGAAACATAGATTTCCTGCCTTCTGCTTAATTGCTTTGAGGATCTTTCTAGTTACATTGCATTTAATGCAGCAAAAAAGTAGGATGTCTGGATTTTAAGCATGTTCTGTGTCTATGTGAATCTCAAATAGTATTTGAATTTCTGAAAGATTTTTTTTTTAACTTTAAAGAAAGTAACATAGACAAAGATGTTTTCTTGTTTCTTCTGAATAACACAAGATGAAGTGAAATAACTGAGCACAGATTTAAAAGGAGCTCTTTCTTTGGAGCTTTTACTTGGAAAAAATATTTGCATAAGATAACAAGGGCTGTAAAGAAAATGGTTATAAGGGAGCCAGTGAAATCAGCAATCCAATTAATTAAGGCATTATAATATCAACAGTCATCATTGTTTCTATGTTTCTATCTAGAATAGTACCACATATTGCTTTGCTAGCATGTTTCAATATTTGTTTTCTATTTTCTTCTGTAATTTGACTAAATGAAGTTATTTTAGCACTCCTCTGAATACAGCTTGGTATGCCTAAAACTAATGAATATGAATTCATTTGTGTCTTCAGAGTCATAAATATCAGTCAGTCTAAGCAAGACTGGTAACAATTTCAGATACTATAGTTCTTTCTCTTTGGTAACTTCCATTTAGCAATAGACTAATCAGAATAAGTCTGTGATTAACTTCTTTGGATAATATGACTCTGACATTTTGGATCATTATATAGTGATAGGATCACTATATTGTTTCCAAAAATAAGACATTTGGGAATGAAATATGCATGTGTCTGTGTATGCCTAAATTATGGTATTTAGGCACAGACACATACACACCACAGTAAATACTTTTAACTTAGATATATGTGTGTCAGAGATAGGTTGCTTCCGGTTCGGCTCGATCAAGTGAATCGGTAGTAGTGGCAGCGGGAGGCTCCACACACCCTCCCGGATGCTTCTGCACATGCGCAGAAGCTTCTGTGCATGTGCAGAAGTGTTGCATGCGAGCGCAAGTGGGAGCACACCCAAACCAGTAGTAAGAAAATTAGGAACCCACCACTGGTTTGTGTGTATCGGTGTGTATGCAGGAAACACATATACACACTCACACATGTGCTGCTGCTTATGTGGTAAATACTAAATGGTATCATACTAAACTTTCCATGACAATAGAAGTCATCTAATTATGAAATAGAGAGGAAGAAGGCTTTCTGTGTTCTCCCATTTCCACTATAACTCCTGCACCACAACATTTCCTCCAAACAACTTTTGTTTCTGGAGCACATCTGAAGTAAACTCGAGAATAGGTAAGAAGAGATTGCTGAAATCCAATAATCTTCATGTTCCATTTACCAGAATGGAGTCATTAATTTCTCTGAGAACATTATTTATGTATTCTGTTCATAGCATATCTAGCCTTCACACAAACAAAACTAATAAAATTAGGAAACAAAAAAAAATGTTCCATTCACATGGCATTAAGTTTGTATATATTTGTATGAATGTGAAGATATCCTGGTATGCCTAAATGATCATATTTATAAATTAGCATGTATGAATAAGTGACTTTGATGCTTCACAGACTCTTTAATTTGACCTGAGTCCCACAGCGGAATCTCACCATAAACTCCAGAAATCTAGGGCTACAAACCCCACCTACAAACACATCACCATCACCACCAGATGGATTATTTCTAACGGCACAACCAGGTCTGCAGATGATAGGAAGTTCATCATCTCAGTCTTCCAAGTAAATTTTAAGATGGGGAAGGCAAGCAGCTACCAAAAGTGTGTGGTTGCTTTATCACAATGTTTTCAACCTTGACAACTTTAAGTTGTGTCAACGTCAACTCCTACCACTCTTTTGGAAGTTGAAGTTCACACATCTTAAAGTTGCCAAGATTAAGAAACACTACTTCATCCAATAGGGAGCTAAAAGACTCTTGGCTGGTTTTTTTTAAATATCAACAAATATGATAAGATAGAGACTTATGACCCATAGAAAGGACATGTCTAGGAAAAATTAAATGAACTGTGACCTTATAAATAGTATGGGTAGTATGGGGAAAAAGACAAAAGAAAACAATAGTGCATATACAAATATAAATTTAGTATGTTTAAACATCCTTTATATACCATAATCAAAATATTTGTAACCTTATTAGTGCAATTGAATAAAGTTCCAATCCTGTTTCTACAAGGCTTTGGAAAACACACAGTTGAATTCATGTGCCTGTGTTAAAGGGTCTTTTTTTCATCAGAAGTCCTCCTATTTGTAAGATGCATAACAGTTAAAGAAAATATCCATTCTTATTTCAATGAGGATTATCCTAAATAACACAAATTATGGAAGTATTTAATCATTTAACATGGAATTTGCAACATTTCATTGCTGTAACAATTCTGTCTCTTTTTCTTCCTCCTCCCCCTCTCTCTCTTTCTTTCTTGAACCAATAGAATAATAGGCTTCGGAAACATGCTTTTGAGTTGAAAATGAATGACTTGACATACTTTGTGCTGGCAGCTGAAAATGAGCAAGATATGGATGAATGGATTTTTACTCTCAACAAAATCCTTCAGATAAATCCAGAAGTGTCTATTCAAGAGAGGAGAAGTGCTGACATCAGTGATGTGAGGTTTGGTAAGTAGATTTTTTTTAATCATTACGAATCCGAGTTAAAAAATTAAACTTGAAACTTAAAGCATTATGCATTTAAATCTCCAGGCCTTTTGAATCCATAGCAGTAAGTAAGTAAGTAAGATCTTTATTACGGTCAAAGACCAGCAATATACATTTGTCTTTACACTATATTAAAAATACTAACATTAAAATATAATTAAAAGTATTTACATTAAAAGTGGATAATAACATTATGGTCCAAAGATTGTTAAAGGTATGTCCAGATAAATTGGTACAAGATGGTACTATACTGTAGCCAATTTTTTTCTTATGGACATTGCAGCAGCACAGAACTTTGCCACTGCATACGCAGTAACCGGGTTAGTGTCCTGGAGGAGAAAGCCTAAATAAAAATTGTCTGCCCTTCCTGGCAATCTCTCTAATAAGGGGAGAATATATGCAGACCTACAAGCTCTGTATAGCTCGCAATGTAATAGTACATGTGAATTATCTTCCACTTCTCCTTTACCACATATACAAACGTGTTCAGCTATAGGTGTTCTCTTATACCTGCCCTGGAGGAGTGCTGAAGGAAGAATGTTAAATCTGGCTCTGAAGAAAGCTATTCTTTGTTTTGGAGAGATCAGGTCATTTAGATATCTTGCCGATTCCTACACACCCTGTTTGATTCTGTCCCTACTGTGGAAAGGCAACCTATTTAGTTCTTCTTGGAACTCCATGTCCCTCATTCTATTAATTACTACTTGCTTTGCTTGCTCAAAGCCTAGGGACATTAAGAATAATGGTGAAAGCCCATAAGAGCCTAGCTTGTGATCAATTGCTTGTTTCCAGGGGGAAGGGAAATTGTCAGTCAACACTAGTGGGGACAGTCCCTTTGGAAAGAAATGCATTTTAAGCCAATAAATGACCATCATCTTCCAGGCTCTTACTTGAATTTGAGGCATGCCTGTCTCAATTCTTAACTGGGCATTTGTAGTTCCATTGGGAGCAGCTAAGATGGCTCGCAGGAATTTTGTTTGAATGGTTTCTAACAAGTCTCTCTTTGCAAGGATTCCTGTTTGTGCCCCGTAAAGAATTTGTGCCAATGTTTTGGCCTCAAAAAGTTTTAAGGCAGCAGGTACTAACTGAATTCATAGCAGATCAATGTGCAGTGTTAAATATTTTTGTTTTTGAGCTGCAAAGATGCCCATTGTGCCAGCTATTCTTGAATGCATTTTATTTTAACCTTCTTTTATTGCACATATTATGTCAGGAAATAACACAGCATTCATACTCTAAAGATTTGAAATAATATACGTAATAAGCTTTTTCTATGATTCAAAATGTATCTGTAAGACACAATGGAAGAAATTCATGTCTTTCATATGAGTCATACTTTACAAAAATTACTTCTCTTGCTTGATCCTTTGATTGCCACAGAGAAATTTATTTGTCAAGAGGTTTATATGAATCACAGTACTATGTTCATTGATTTTTATAAAATAAGTTTACTAAAATGGTTTGTATTATGATTGGGAGCTTTTAACGTACATCTCTACCTACTTAAGAATTGTCCTTTTTTCTTCAAAGTCGTGCTATAATTGCAGAACAGAAAATACATGATTTAGATAAGCATACACTTTAGTTCATCATTAAATTATTTGGAAGCAAATAATCTTTCTTCTTTTGAATGTGTTTATATATTTCAGATTCTGAAGACATTTGCATAAATTATGACCGCACTGAAGAGGAAAATGATTCTTCAGAGAATAATTTGCATCCAGATATTGCTAAAGTAAGAAATTATTGTTGTTACAAGGTGAAAAAGCTTTGCATATTATAAATATTGTTTTGCCACATGAAAACCTGAAAATAAAATTAACATTACTGGTATTTAAAAGCATACTACTGTATGTCACAAAAAAAGTCAGCTATCATGGTGCTTTTACAAACCATCACATTTTAGGGTGAAAATGTTAGAATTAACATAATAGAATAGTGTATATACATGTATGTATGTATGTAATTATCTGTCTATCTATATAAGCTAACTTATCTGTATTATCTGTCATGTATCTACCTGTCATTCATTTACCTATCACAGTGATTGTATATCGAAGAATTCTTATCTTTGCAGTACCTCACAGAAACAGAAAAAAGTGTTCAAGAATCTCGGAATGTAGATCGGCTAAACCTTTTCTCTTTAGACTCTGACATTGCTGTAAGTAAAGTGTTCCTTTTAATTTCCAAGAGAGATGGAATAAAAGCAAGTAGCATAATGAGTTAATTACCAGCCATGTAATTTTAACTGCTTTTATTGCATATATTTGTACTTTAAGTCATTCTGTATGGCTAGATTCCAAGGATAGAGATATCCTCTTAACTGAACATACATCTGTATTCCAAAAAGCCTATTTTCTTCAACTTTTTTAAGCTGCTTTGTATATTGATTTCAGAGAGTTAATTATCTCAATGTCCAATTCTAGAGCTTGAACACTCAAAGAAAGGAGTTTACAGAAATGGATCGATTGCTCAAACCTTTTGAGGAGAAAGAGACAAAGCAAATCATGATAACATGCAAATCCCTTAATCTGAATCTTCAAGCTTGTGTTTCTGATAATGAAAATGATCCCGTTACCAACGTAAGTTTGAAGCATGTTGCAGAAGTCTGTGCTTCTCCAGTGAGACACAGCATGCTTTAAATATCAGTTGCTGGGAGGAATAGGGGAACTTCTCTATGTGAACTTTATAGAAGGATTTTGATAACCACAGTGGTTATTTTCTCTGATCTAGCAGGGACTTTATGTTCTTTTGTGTTTTTCTGGTAAACTGAGCTTTCAGATTTTCCAAAGGTGCTTTTCAAGAAGCAAATGGACTTTCTGGTTTTCCTTCGATGATGTTTCAGTTCTCATCCAAAAAGCTTCTCCAGCTTCTTTCTGCTAAGGGATCTTGGCATGAATAACAAAAAGTCAAACTATTCCAATATAGAAGCCTTCGGAGGGAGAAAAATGGCCCAACTGGCAACCAATGTCTGTTCCCAAACTTCCGATTTGCATCTAGGGCCGTTTTTCATTCTCTTCTGGCTCCTTGAAAGCCTCTGGAGCCTGGGGAGGGCAAAAAATGGACCTACCAGACCCACTGGAAGTCAGAAAATGGGCCATTTCTGACCTCTGGAGGGCCTCTGGGGGATGGGGGAGCCCATTTTTGCCCTCCCCAGGCTCCAAGAAAGCAGTGCACGCATGTGCGGGTCAGCAGGCAGATTAAATTATTAGGGTGGGCATGAGAGTGCGCACAATAATGTGTATGAGTGTGCTTTTAGCATCTGAGGCAAAAAAGGTTTGCCATCACTGATATAGAATAACAGTCTATTTTTCCACATAATTCTGGATTTTTATACTAAAATGACAAATGATATTTGTTGCAAAAATGGATTGTTAGTTGTAAATAATGCAGATACAAAATGGGGAAAATCAGAGTATTGCTTCCAAATATATCACTTGTCAATATTATATTTAAAAGAAAATGTAATGGATGGAACTGCTTAAATTGTGAACAATTTAGCTTCCACTGCTATCTGCCAATGTATTGATTTCATTCATTGCCAGATAGCAGCAACTATGTTTTGAAGACTAGCTTTTATAGGAAATAAATAAGTAGACAGAAAATAATTCTAGAATGAGAGTGGGAAAAGTACATAAATAAGTGGGATATAGACCAGGATGGTGTGTTGAGAAAGTTCAGAAAGAGATAATAGCTTTTTCTTAACTGCAAAGCATATGATGTATCAGGCAATATTAAAGTATCTAATAGAAGATAAATATACCAGTACTGGCTTGTATGATCGTGATTTAATTTAGTAAGTTAAGATATGAACAACTATTTCCTCTACGTATATAGTCTCCTAGGCATCTATATTAATTAAATAAGGAAAATTATTTAAATCTCAGTTTCCAAATTAGGAACATGGCCTATTAACTTAAGAACAAGTCAGTAAATTAAATGAGCTCAAAATGATGGCTAACTTGTACTTGTCTTCAAAGTTCATATCTGTTTCCATAGTATGAACCAAGTAACATGTTCTTAGGTTGATAACCATAATCTCCCAATTGGAACCTTCTTTGTTTATGAAAGAGAAAAGGGGCTATATGCTATCTGAATGTTTTACTCTGACATTTCAGCATCTTAAAGTAGCATACAATTGTACATAGTATTCTAATGATTTATTGGAAGACCTGTTGAATTCACAGCTTAGGAAACTTATTAAACTCAGTAGACATATTTGAGATATATTTCAGTTTTTATTTCATTTTTGATTATTTTTATATACATTATTTAATGTTGTTGTTATCTTATTAATCATGTGATTTTAATACATTATTAGCCACCCAGAATCATATATGTGAGATGACTGGCCAAATAAATAAATATTTTTGTTTACAGATTGAGCCCTTTTTTGTGAGTGTGGCTCTTTTTGACTTAAGGGATAACCGAAAACTCTCTGCTGATTTCCATGTGGACCTGAATCATACTATTGTTAGACATATGATATCACCCTCATCAGAAAATGGAACCGTTGAAACATCTGGCAACAAAGATGAAGAACCTCAGGTTAAAGGATTCCCAGAGGAGTGGCTGAAGCATCCCAAACAGGTAACAAAACTGTTTCATTCACATCCATCTGCTTTGTGAACATCAACTGAAAGTCATCAGTAAAGAAAATTGTATGCCATGGTTATTTGAACTACTGTATTTTTTGGAGTGTAAGACACACCGGAATAGAAGATGCACCTTAGTTTTTGGGGAGAAAAATAGGGGGGAGGGATTCTGTCTACCAGGCATCATCTGGCTAACCTTAGCCTGGTCAGCTTCAGTGCATTAGTTCACTCACTGGTTTTGAGGTTGGGGATAATGGGTTTCAGTACATTAGATTCCTCGCTGATTTTGAGGTTGGGGATGGTGGGGGCTGTGCTTCTAAAGCACAGCTGATTGTCAGAGGGAGCAGCAATTAGAAAAGCAGGCAAAGCACAGATCGCTTAGGTTGAAAAACAGCTTCAAAAGCACAGATGATCCTCGGAGGGAGCACCAGTGACTAAAGCAAGTAAAGTGGGGAAGGAGTAAGGGAAGGCAGCAGCTGTTCTGGGAAGCCATTTTGGGCACCGCGTATCCAGAATTTGGAGGCTGAAAATGCAATGCATAGAGCCCAAAAACACAATCCATTGTCGGTGGCAATCTCTGCAGCCAGGAAGAGGATGCATGGAGGCCAAAGGGTAGAAGCTGGCATGTAGGCGGGCCTATATTCATAGTATAAGACACACTCAAATTTTCAGCCTTTTTTAGGAGGGAAAAAAGTGTGCCTTATACTCCAAAAATACGGTATTTCAAAGCAGTAGGTGGGTAGCTACAAGCACTTCCATGAGTAATTTCTGATTACTTTTGAACTGTAAATCCCAGCATTCCTACATGAAATGATGGTAATCCTAGAGGACACCACATTGGAGAATATTTCTCCCCAAATTTTCTTAATGTTCTCTGTCCCCACACAAGGTTAATATTTCCAAATAAAGACATGGGGCAAAATATGAAATTATTGTTATCTGCAATAAAAATAAACCTTCAAACCTTCAAAATAAAAATTCTCCACAGTCTGCAATTGAGGTGGTTTTAAAGCTTCTGTTTGTCATCAGGTTTTTCAAGTAGGACTCTTCTTGGCTCTTAGTGTATAATCATCCATTATCTGATTTTTGCTGCTTATGTAAAACTTGTCAGAGTAAAGAAATTTGCTGTTTCATGAAGAAGGACATTAGAGATTTCTATACCATCAGCAAATGCCCATGTGATATTCTATGCATCATTCAGCCACAGGTTTCAAACTCCTTAATATTGTCAACTTCTTAAAATAATATATCCAGTCAACAAAACAATTGATAAAATCCTTGTTGCTCACCAAAACTCTTTCAGGATGCTGCAGGCTGTAGCACATTTTGAAACCCACCATTGGTTCCTCACAGCCTCCTATAACTCCCTTTTAAGCCATGTTTCTCCTTCTAAAAATAGAATAAAAGCTGCATTAACCATCATTAGAACCATATTACTCTAGAAGGAGTTGGATGTTTTGTCAGAAAAAGGCAGAAGTTTGGAAATAAAGGCAAATTAGAGTTGATGACATTTTTATGTTGCAGAATAATTCTTTAAGTAAAATAATTTGTTTGTTGTATCTAGATTGCTACTTACTGATTTTTTTTTCTACTTTCAGGGAATTTTCTCCATTAGTAACCCTCATTCTGAAATTGTTTTGGTGGCAAAAATTGAAAAGGTCCTCATGGGAAATATTGCTACCAGTGCAGAACCTTATATAAGAAACCCAGACTCTAACAAGGTAATGTAATTGGGAACATGAATGGCTTTCAAATCCTAAGGGTCAGATTAACTATTGACAAGAGAAGCCATCTCTGGAGACAACATTGGCAATCTTTAGGAGCAGGAAGCATTTCTGTTTGTTTATGCAATCTGTTTGCGCTTCTTCTTATTCTCAATGAAAGAGTCATTCCTGGAAGTTAAGTACTTCCAAAAATAAGTAATGTAAGCTGCGCTAATGTAAGCCTTACCAGATAGACCAGACAGGGGACATGACCAGATGAACTAATTCTATTTTATTGTAAGGCTACATTAACAGAATCCTACAAAAGTGAAAGTAAAATTCTTCCCCATTTCCTTTACGCCTAGAAAAATTAGGATGGATCTTTTCTGAGCCTCTTGCCCTGCCCACTGTTCAGATGCAGACTATGCTGTCTCTTATCTGACCACTCCCTAGGCACTGCCTCTGGGCTCTCTCAAGGCTATGTCCACATACTATTACAGGTAAATATCTGACCTGTAGTAGGAGAAATGTGATAGCTAGGAGATTTTACCTATCCAGCTGCAATATTTCAGATTATAAATATATCCCTTTTTTCTGCGAATAAACAAAATCTCTTAATGAAGTGAAAAATAATAGAATCAATTCCCTGGAAGGTTAGTTGGATTCTCCATAAGTGGGCATCTTTAGGAATATTATGTACTTTTCAATGCTATACTAATTATATATGTACAACTGTATTTAAATGACATCTAATTGGGATTTAAGGAGCCTATTACTTCTCCCTCTGCTTATGTTAATCATTTTATATTTTAAATTTGCTTCTTAATCTTTAACATTTGTTGCATATATGCTACTTCTGCTTTCATCTCAGCAATTTAAGCACTCAGCATTGTGTTCATAAAAAAAAGACTTTTCTAAAACCTGGTATATGTGAGACATCCAAGTTCATCATGAAATATGTCTGCCGTTGTTCAAAAATTTCTCAATGATAACGATTAGGAAGTATTATCAGCTGAAATTATCTGGCAACCCTCTGTGCTACTCTAGTTCTGGTTTTTCGGCATCATTTTAAGTGGTTAGATGGCCTAGACCAGTGGTGGGTTTCTGCCAGGTCACACTGGATCGGGAGAACCGGATGGTGAAATTTACCGATCCGGTGAGAGGAGTTTCGACTGGTGGACCCGGAAGTAACTTCCGGAACGCCTGCCCTGGCCCTGTTGCTCCTCGCTCACCCCCGCCCGTCCGGAAGCTGCTCCATTGCTCGCTCCCCCCGCCCATCCTCACTATCTAGCCCAATTCGGTGTCAAGTCCCATACCTGGGAGTGGAGGTGGTGAACAGAGAAGCATGGAGAGGTCCAGCAGCACAATCCACCAGACAGCAGCGGCAAGCTCAGGAGTTTTCTCCTGGATTCCTCTCTGTCATGCCTCCTCCGATCTCCCAAAGTTCTTTCCCCAGGGTGTGATAGCTTTCTACTGGATTCCTCTCTGTCCTGCCTTCTCTGATCTCCCTAATTTCAGCCCTTAATCCTCCAGTTGTCTATTTTTGGGAGGTTTTCCCCTATCTTCCCCCTCCCTTCATAGGAGTCCCAAAAATATTTGCAACATGGCTTGGGGGGGTCATGTGACTGAGTGTGCATGAGTGATGTCAATTTGGCCATACCTGCCCGGTCACATGACTGTCAAGCCACGCCCACAAAACAGGCCACACCCACAGAATAGGTTCTAAGAAAAATTGAAACCCACCTCTGGCCTAGACGATCCTTTCTAATGATGATACTATAGTGCTTCATCACCAAAATGTCACCAATGGTCTAAAGCAGGGGTAGTCAACCTTTTTATACGTACCGCCCACTTTTGTATCTCTGTTAGTAGTAAAATTTTCTAACCGCTCACCAGTTCCACAGTAATGGTGATTTTATGAAAACCTAATGAAAAAATTTAAATAATGCTATGAATTATTTTTTTAAAGTCAATTAAATTAAAAAAAAGGAAAGTGCTTCAGTATCGGACAAAACCCCTACTGTCCACCATGAAAGCTGAAACTCCCACTAGTGGGCGGTAGGAGCCAAGTTGACTACCAGTGGTCTAAAGTTAAATTATTCTGAATAGAGTTTGAAGTGACCCTTCTTTAACTTTTTCTTTGATTTTATCTAGTGGGCCCTGAAAGTATTAAAATCCAACAAACAATTCTGCCACAAGTTGGGAAAATATCGGATGCCCTTTGCTTGGTCTGTACGGTATGTAAATTACCAAATAACTATCAAGTATTAGCAGTTTTGCACCTGGCTAGAAATTATAAAACGTATTGGTTCATACAAGGCACAAAATCCCCTGTTTTGATATCTGTGAATTGATATTTTTTCTGAAGAAGAGGTTATCAGTATTTTCTGTTCACTAAGGGAAATCATATTTGATTTCATTCTATGTTTTTGGTATTTACCATAAAGAATAACAGAGTTGGAAGGGGCCTTGAAGGTCATCTAGTCTAATCCTCTGCTCAGGAAACCCTATAGTATTTCAGACAAATCATTGTTCAGTCTCTTCTTTAAAACCTGCAATGTTGGAGCCCCCTCAGCTTTTGGAGGCAAGTCATTCCACTGATTAATTGTTCTGACTGTCAGGAAATTTCACCTTATTTCTAGGTTGCTTCTCCTCAACAAGAAAGAAATATATTTTGATACACCACTAAAATAATACATTGCATTTTCATACATTGCAACTTAACACTATGGAATCTCCAGTCATCAGCATTATCCAATCTTGTGAGAAATTCTAACAGCTATGACAGCACCTAACTAGTCTTATCTGGGCTCACAAATTAAGCAAAGTCACATGGGAAACACTAGGGAAACAGGTTTGTTCTTCACTATTGAACATGCCTTGAGTTGTCTATTCCTATCAAACTAGAGAAGTAAAAATTAGAGCTCTCTTGGTTCCAAAGCGAACTTTTCATATGGTACGAAAAATTCGAATGCCCTCCTGTATGTCTTTACTGTCAACAACTGCTCAACTTCCAGCACATGATGCTGCTGTTCAGATGACCACTGACTTAGGAACATCAAAAGAGATTGCAATGGTAGTAATTGCAGTGGCAACAACTCTTCTTTTACCTTTTCCCTCCTTTCTTCTGTGTCTGCTTTGGTCTATGTCAGGACTAAAAGAAATCTACAACATAAAGATATATTTTACAACTGTATATATTTATGTGGCTTTATTTCATATGATCAGGATGGTTGAATGCATGAAGTGAGGAGCAAGATGAAATTGGTGGAGCTTCATGCCTGCAGGGGGCTGCTTCACCTCTATATTAAATACTACTTTCAATAGTTCAGTTACTGTATTTAATATCCAATAGCATTTTTGTAACTAGCCAATACGTTTCCCGACTCCTGGTGCCCATGAAGTGCCCGAAGACAGATACGGTAGAAGGATAACTACTACATTTTGGACTGAATGAATAGCAGTACCTTGTTCACATTTTTATTTGTTTGTTGATTAAATTTATATAGTGCCCATTTCACTTTGCAAAGCAACTCTGGCCAGCTTACAAGTGTGTGTGTGTACATACCCGCACACGCACACACATGTAAGCTGCCCAGAATTATATATCCTGGATTAAAGGTATACAAACGGAGTTTTTCTTTTAAAAAATCCTACCATCTAAAAACATTTTTTGCATTAGACAAACACAACCTACTTCAGAAAATTTGGCCTAACTGATGAAAAGCAGAAAGCTTGGATTGTGAATGTTGTTTCCAATGTTTAATTTCTGACATCAAACACTGCTCTTGTTTTAAATGTTTTTTTAAACAAGAAAACCAAATGAAATAACCTATATTGGACACTTTTAGAACAATCTTTACATATCCTTTTAAGATTCCTGATTTTCCAGTCTTGGAGCTGAAAGTCTTCTTTTTTATTACAATACGCATTTATATACCCTGAATTTGGGGCTGATGCCATGTGTACTTTCTGAGAGTCAATAATTACAACATGCCTTAGCATTACACTGTGACAAGTCAGTCTTCCATTCTCATATTCCTACCACAGCTGCCAGAATTTGCAAGTACGATTTGGACATGGAAAATTGATTTTCCCACAAAATATTTTCCACAGAACTTTTCCACTCTATTATTCTCATTCAAAAAGATTTAGAACCTTGTCTGCAAAAGATCTTAACAATTTGCAAAATTAGAGCGTTCTTTATGGCAGATAATATCCTCCAGTTCAACTGTTGTCCTGGTTTGCAGTAATAGAGTACCTTGCTCTATATTTTAAAAGGAGAAGCCTAAAAATATAATATGAAGAATAAAATCCAAAGTTAAGAATTAATGGGTCTAAAAATTCATTTTTATGAAAACTAATTTTTTAATCTACACTAATGTTTTAAATTAAATCCCACTGGATTCAGTGAGACTGGTTCCTATGTAACCATGCATACAAGTAACTTTAAAACTCTTCTCATCTATGAGGGCTGTGGTTCTTGATTTAACACTGTTATGTTTTAATACATGACAATTGTTGAACACTGTGGAAACAATTTTACCATCACTATAAAATTCATGAAGCAGTTCAGAAGTCGTTAAACAAAACCCAATAATAATACAAGTCTGTGGAAGCTTACTTTGATGTCATTCTCATGGTGTTTCATATTGGTGTTAATACCAATGTTAATGCATATAATATGGTATTACTGCCTCATTTAATTTCCAGAACATAGATAATTAAGAAACTATGGAATTAGTAAAAACCCTTGGCTAGTTTTTAGTAGTTTTGTAAACCTCAAAGCTGTGGAAATGATTACATGAGAATTAATTATCATCTTCTGTATTTTTTTTCCTTCTTGACAGGCCTGTCTTTAAGGATAATCAGGGAAATATTGACAGAGATTCCTGGTTTTCACCTTTGTTCCGACAAGAAAGTAACAAAATTTCAACAGATGATTTAATTAAACTTATAAGTGAATACAGAAGGTAGGATGGCCTTGGCTTAAGCTTACAACATAGTACTAACTACTATTCATCAATAGCTTTGTTTGCTCAAAAAGTGTCAATGCCAAAATAACTTTTTACAATGGAACAGTTTTCACATTAGTTACTTCTCTGCCAAATTGAGCTTCCAGAAAACTTATCCAAGAAAACTGGAGAAGTGTTTCATACAGTAACAAATATAATGGCTGCCCAAGGAAAAGAAAAGAGAGAATAATAGAAATGCAGAATAATTTACTGGAAAATTGCTAGATTTTATTAACCAAGGTGCTTCTACATAAGGATTTGGAGCTTCTTTGAAGGCCATTTGGGACTTATTCATCCAACAAGTTGTTGGAGAGCGGAGCTATTACATTTCTTGCTGAAACCACAGCAAAGTGAAATATGTTAGCTCCATTTTTTATAATGAAGAGAAACACTGCCCCCAAACTCTTCTCCTGCAGCAGTTTAAGAATGGGCAGCTATTTTTCCCTCCTCATTGTCAGCATTTCAAGCTGGCAAAAGTGAGACAACCACAGATTCTGTTCAAATTTTGTCTACGAGTTTGGTTAGTGAAAAGTACAACAGTGTGGAAATGCCCTAATTGCAGCTTCTGTTTTCTGTTATACAGCAGCTGTTTTTTTTTAAAGATTCATCCTCCTTGAACAATACATCCTTTCCGTATACTTGCTTAGTGACTTATAAAAACTCAAAGAAGCAAGATTTGTTAAATCATAATTTGTTTAAATTCTAGACAAATGTTGCCTATGGGTAGTTCTATGGAATAATTCTAAATACTAGTGTGCAGCAGAATTTCTCTGACTCCAAAAAGATAATTCAGTGTAACTCAACCATGCTGTTGTTTGCTTTCATTGTTTGTTTGGTGTAAAACAGTAATAAACAATAGCTTATCTGACTGGCATTTAGTATGTTTTCCCTTTTTAAATTGATCTTATTTTCATATCTATGAATTGGTTAAAGGCTTAGGTCAAACATAGAGATGAATCAGATATGAGACTAACCAATAATTAAAGCCTTTAAGTCAATAACAAACCATGTTTTATTTATTGATCCCATTTGCACTTTTGGCACAATGTGTGACTCTATGAAGAAAACGTATTTGTCTTCTATAGGCAGAATATTCATTCCTCTGTTCAGCCATTTATTTTCAATAACATGAGGACATAAACCTTTTGTTTAGCAGGCACCAATCTAATCCCAACTTTTTTGTGAGTACACCCAGCAAAGAGCTTCTAACCTTTTTGGTCCTCACTTGGTAAAATATATATTTTTTTAATTATATAGGTAGACCTTGACTTATGACCCCAATTGTGCCCCAAATTTCCACTGCTAATCAAGACTACTCCTAAGTGAATTTTGCTTCATTTTATGAATTTTTTTTGCCACAGTTGTTAAGTGAATCACTGCAGTTGTTCAGTGTAATACGGTTGCTAAATGAATCTCGCTTCCCCATTGACTTTGTTTGTCAGTTCTCAAAAGATGATCACATGTCCCCGGGACATTGCAATAGTCATAAATACATGCAGTTGCCAAGCATCTGAATTTTGTTCACATGACCATGATGATACTGCAATGAACAATGGCGATAAGTCACTTTTTTCAGTGCCATTGTAACTTTGAATGGTCATTAAATGAGGACTATCTGTATTTCATTTTTTAGGATACCAGTTTTTACTATATTTGGACATATAGTATATATAATAAACTTTCTGAATTAAACAAACATGCTTCTGTGATCTTTTCCCCATGCACTTGGTGATAAAGGCATTGTGGGACATGAGGAAGAATTCATCTGAGCAAGTTTTGATATGACTTTAATTTGCTTGGTTTCCTAAATCATACTTTTATAATGTCTCGATTTTGAACCCATCATTTACTTCATTTTTATTTTGTAACTGTTTATGTTTTTATGCTGTTTGAATACAGTGTGTGCATCTATTGTATATTTCTGCAATTCTATTGAGCTAATAGAAATATTAAAATAAATAAACTATTGTTTTTAATTCATTACTTTACCTTGATATCAATAATGTAAACATTATTATGTTTATGTTTGCAGAACTGAGAAAATTAATAAAATTCAGATTATCCCTGGAAGTTTAGAAATTGCTGTTGATTGGCTACCTTTGGAGCATCCAAGTATGAACTCATTTTATAAAAAGTCTACAATGCATAAACCATCCAGTGCAATTTTTGCTGTTGTTTTAAGATTGTTCCTTTATAATTTATGTGCTTTAAATTGATTTTTGTGGTTGCTGTGTTCAAGAGCAGAATTTAGGCAGGAGATCAAGAGACATATAGATTTTACCTTGTTAATAGGGCAACAGTTGAAATCATGGTACTATGCATAAAATATATAATGCGTAATGGGATTTGCTAATGAAAGATGGTTAGAAAGACTACATTTTCTACTTCAAAATGTGCTCTGTGAATGATCATATTTTATACGTATTATGTCATATATTTCTAGAACTGTGTCACTCATTTAAGAAATACTTTTCTAAATTTCTTAAATATAAGCTAAAATAATTAGCTTATAGAATTACTATTTTCTAAAAGTAGAAAATAATTTATACTGTTAATCAGATTTTTCCATTTCAACTTTCAATTCCACATAAATATATGTGATAGAAACTTTGTGGCTTAAATAAGCATCATATATTATTGGATTCCTCCACTGGAGGATTGCATGTAATAAACAAAATAGAGAGTGGTGAATTTCAGTGGCCATCTTCCTTCCTTATTCAATCGTGGTACACCTGCAAAATCTATTCCCAATGGTTATTTGGAACAATGGGAAAATTATACATACGACAACAGGGGAAAAAAGACATTTATCCTCCTGCATTCTGCTGACAGATACCTGGTGATATCCATATGTCAGTCTTATATTTTTTTAAAAAATATCCTTTAATTGACTGATCATTGTTTGAAGTAACTATTGCTTCAACAGTAAATAACTACTGTTGAAAAAGGCTCCGTAAAAGATAGAAGCCCTAGTGCATTCATAGACTTGCCAGATTGCAGTCTTTTAAAAAAAGACAATATTTTAAGTAGTGAATTGATTTTTCTTTTGTTTTGTTTTTTCTCCAGACTCTGTAACATCATCTTTTATACCAAACAAGCCCTTCAATAATATCAAGGACTATCAACCAACAGTAGAAGTGGAAGAATTTGTTCAAGAATCTACAAAATATTCTCAGGCTTATAAAATATATAAAAACCAAATGTATATCTATCCCAAGCATCTGAAATATGATAACCAAAAATGCTTCAACAAGGTAGGACCATCAATAGTACAATGGCCAAGAAGCATGTTTACTTAAAAATAAACTTTTTTAAGTTCTATAGGCAATTTGGAATACAGGTAGTCACCAATTTATAATTATTTGTGTAATCACCATTCAAAATTACAAATGTACTGAAAAAAAGTGCTAGGACTTATGGTCAGTCTTCACACTTACAACCAATGCATCTTCACTACAATCACATGATAAAAATTTGAGCACTTGGCAAACTGGTATTTTGTCACAGTTGCAATGTCCCACAATGTCATTGCCATTTGTGTCCTTCCAAGGGGCAAACTCAATGAGTTAAGCCAGATTCACATAACAACTGTGTTATTCATTGAACTGCAGTGATTCAATAACAACCACATCAAAAAATATTGTCAAATCAGGCATGACATACATAGCAATCACCTTGATTAGCAATGGAAATCCTAGTCCAACTGTGCTCATTTGAGAAGTACCTGTATAATGCTGGAATGGTTGAACCTATGGGTTATCTCTATCCTAGAGAACAGTTGGTAGGCAAAGGAATAGTGGATTTTTTCCTGATTCATTTGTTTATTGTTCCCTATTGAAGGCCATCAACTGATCCACTTATATCACTTATATTATAAGGCTGATTTTTCCCACACTGAGAACATGAAACTTACTTTCTTTGAAATCTCAGTCACATGTACATATTTATATTAAAACAGCCTGATTGATTTTATTGCTTGTGTATGAATTACTATTCCTGATGGCCATTTTTCTCTTTTTGCTTTTTTCAAATTAACCTTTCATGACTATTTCAATATTCAAATTGAATGGCAATAGAATAGGTACTATACTGTAATGGAATATGTAGTAGTGATTCATACTTTCAGCAAAATAGGTTTCATTGAAAATCTGGAACTTATTTCAAAGCCCTCCACATGAAAATTAAACATAAGCAGATTGTCTAGTTTTTATTTTATGGGGGGGGGTTGTTCAGGTTTATATGCGCATACATGCACATGCTATCTTTTAAATTATTTTTGAAGTTTAAAGTCTTCATATGTTCTACATTCTTAATATATTTACTTTTCAAATAATTCAGCTGACCTGAAGTATTATGAAGAAGTTAAATCTTTCCATTTTTCCACTCTGAATTTATTTCACTTCTGGGCTTTACTCTCAGCTGGCAGCGTTGTGACAGTTTTGGAATAGACTGTATGTTTCACAGAAGTTTTAAGTGGAAAGCTAGTGATCTTATTTGTATTTGTATTACAGGCACGGAATATAACAGTGTGTATTGAATTTAAAAACTCAGATGAAGAAGGAGCAAAGCCAGTGAAGGTGAGTCCAGATGAATTCCAGCTGCAGCATAATACGGTGGAGCAGATTTCTTTGGATAACCTTTGGTGAAGTGATTATGATCTATAACTTTCACAAAATCATCAGCCTATTATTTTTTTTCCAACATTTCCATAGCAGTTGTTTATAACAGCAATAAATGCAAGGCTTTTCTGGCAAATGCCAGTTCTGCTGACAAGATTTTATGCAACATGATGAAATACAAAATTCGTGATAAATCTCAATGTACTTTCATAACTGAGGTTAATATCATGTTGATGAAGGTGAATAATCAGCAGGAGAAGTGCCGAATTCAGGCATTCTGCATACCATGTATGAATACACCAATCATTGTCATTCGTTTCTGTGTTTCATAGAGCTATATAAGCTCATCAAAGATTTTTTATGTCCCTAGCTTTTTTTTTACTTTTTCTTTTGATGGGATGTGTAGATGGATGCTATTGCTAGAAACTACTAAATAAAAATATTATTAATAGTTATTAATCTAAAATCAAGAAATAAAGTATTTTTACTAATTTGATTTTTGTCATTTTGACCTCTGATGTCATCCATTATCCTCTTGCTAGTTTATTTAAAAAATACCATGTATACCAGTTTTTTCGCAATCTGTTGTACAATCATGTAATTTTATAGGATGCCCTGAAAAAAAAAAATCCCCTCCAGTTTTGTTTTTTTTAAATACTCCAAAATCCTGTGAGTTTGTTTGTCAGATCTTTTTTGGCATTCTCCACATGAAATCTCATTAGATTTCAGACACTTTTAATTTTTTTATATGTTTTTGGCCCAAAGGTTCTGCGATGGTATGAGGCTGAAAAAGTCTTCTAAGATATGACTTCAGAATCAGTTATTTCTAGTAAAGACCACAAAACTTAAAGCAATGTCTCTTTAAACAGTGTATCTATGGGAAGCCTGGTGGACCATTATTTACATCAGCAGCTTATACGGCTGTGCTACATCATTCACAAAACCCTGATTTCTACGATGAGGTCAGTCTTCTCTTTCTGTGATTTTATACACGCTGTTATAATAGACAAGTTTATCAAAGATATTTTTGGAAAAAAAATAGGTTGCTAAGGACATTAATATTTCTTAAAAACAACTCTCATAGCAGAAAAACTCAACACCCTGACCCATAAGAACAGCCAGGTCTTCAGTAGCTTTCAAAAAGCCTTCATGGTAGGGGTCATTGCTTTTGGGAGGTAAGATACTCTATAGCAGGTCTGCCAAACTACTAGCCCATGGGCAGGATGCATCACACACTGGCTATGCCCCCGCCCGGTTTAGCAAAGGGGGGGGGAGTCCTGATATGTCACAAGACACCACCGTGACGACTTGAGTTTGACATCCCTTCTGTATAGGGCATACAGAAGGCATGCTTCCTATATTCCATTGGATGGCATTGTGTGACAGAAGGGATTCAGATGATGCAAAAATCTGTTGACGGGGAAGCAGTTTAGTAAGACACAGATAACAACAACAAATCACAGAAATAACATGACTGTCTGCTACAAGGGGCTCTTATTTTATATTATGTAGTTATATATTTATTTATATTTTTCAAATAACTCAAGGTGGAAAAACTAAGCCTAAGTAACTCTGAAAACCAGGTGCTTAGCACTTGATCTTTTCCCCTACCAAGCAACACTGAATGGACTAACCTTAGAAGAAGAAAAGGAAGCATTGCAACACCATTCCTTTCTATTCCTACATCCTAAATTAGAAGGATATATATTTAATATTATCAAAAGCTGCTACTAGATCCAAGTAGGCAAGAATACCATCTCCATTTTGAAGTCTGAGTACTATTTTCTGGCCTGAATCTGATTGAAAAGGGTCTAAATAGTTGATTTCTTCCAGCTCTCTGAAAATGCAGGCTGAACACCTTCTCCAGAACCTTCCCCTAAAAGAGAAGATTGAATAGACCAAAAATATATCCAAGTACATGATGATTTCTTGAACACAGTGTGGACCACTACGGTACTTCCTTAAGGCAGATGGGATCACCTACTTGCTCAAGAAAAAATTGACCATGGCCTGTACTCACCATACTTCACCTCCTAGACAGGGCTAACCAGGAAAATTATGAGCCTAGTGTATAGATGAATGAGTTTACAGTTCTGTGGATTCTATCCATTTCATCAAGCCAAATCTTCCCAGATATTCTAGCAGATTATATTTCTAGCAGATTATACCAAAGACTCTGCGCAGCTAGAGTCCAAATATAAGTAACTTTATTTGCCACATGTCTTGAATACTTCTTACAGTGATCTTCCCAGGGGGATTTGCCTCCGCCGGAGGATCTGAACTAATCCTAAACAGGTCCACTAGCTAATTATCTATCATATGTATTAGGAGCAGAACAATGTTTATGTTTTGCCACTGTTTTCACCATGAAGTAGTTCTTAATAAAGACTTTAAATGTATTTGGTAGGACAAGTGCTATTTTCTTAAGTTGTGCTCTAGGGACTTTGAGTTATGGGATTTACAGGCAGAGAAGGGCTATGATTACCATTCCCTCTCATTCCAAGTGGTGACCAAGACCTCTCACACTATGCATCAGAGATTCAAGAATAATCCCAAACTCTATTTGAAACCTCCAGTCTTCATCAGGCACACAGAGAGTGATTCCCATAGGCAGCTGACCCAAAGACAAAAATAATGTGAATACTTAGAAATCTCTGCTAAGTATTAGGACCTCAGTGATTTAGGTCAAGTCTGTGGCTGCTTTATAAAGGCCATGAACTCCAAAACCACTTATCTTTACGGCCATTGACATCAGGTCTACATTCCACAGCACTTACTTCAGAACAGCAATCCCATTTGATATCAAGAGCTCAGTTTAATATACAGGATCTTACTTACTGCAGAGCAATGTCTTTGGAAGCCACCAGAGACTCTGGTTTGACTACAGATATGCCACTATGCCTGGTATTTCTCTTGAAGCCTTTACTTATGGGATCATAATCCCCTGTTTGTACCCCCTTCCCTGACCGAATTGTGAGCCGCCCTGAGTCCCCTTTGGGGAAAAGGGCGGCATATAAATGAAATAAATCCTAATCCTAATAATTGGTGTCTCTCTTAAAGCCAAGTAAGCACATTACCCTCCTCCCACTCCTATACCAACCTGATCTTGGTAATATATTGTCCTTGGTAATCCTGATATGTATTATCTGAAATGAATTCTTTTTGATCTTTTTGGCCTTTAAGAGCACATATAGAAGATCAGAATTAGGTCCCGCTACCTTCTAACACTTAAGATGAATGTAATGTTTTACATTTCAGATAAAAATTGAATTGCCAACACAACTTCATAAGAAACATCATATTCTGTTTTCATTTTATCATGTTACCTGTGACATAAATGCAAAAGCTAATACCAAAAAGAAAGAGGCCCTGGAAACCTCAGGTACCTATACTGGATTTTTGCTCAAATACTCACTGTCTGTATTATTCCTGTATACTTTCCCTGAATTAGGTCAAGCATTTCAGACAATTTCTGTTTTTTGGTAACTGTTATTTCTTTATATTTAAAGATATCAAAATGTTTTAGTGTTAACATCTATTTTCGATACAGTGGGATATGCTTGGCTGCCTTTGCTAAAAGATGATCAACTAACATCTCGAGAACATAACTTACCCGTGGCAACTATTCTACCTCCCTCTTATTTAAATCTTCAGGATCCTGCAGCTGGGAAGGTATTGTGTTTTACTACCTCTTTGTTTTATTTCTTGTAAAGCAATCTTATAATTTAATGTTAATGACATTAAGTGTCATATATAAAATTATTCTCAAACTCTATCAGATACATACCATGTCATCCATAGGATTTTGTGTGTATCTGAATCGTTGCTTATTTAAGTTCTTTGACTGGAATGAAGCAAAAAAATTTTGATGATAAATAAATATATACATCCTTTGTTTATAATTTATGGTTCTGGATGTTTATAATTTTATATGAAAATACCTTCATTTATCATGCAGTTTGGATTACTTGATTTTTTTCATATTTTGCAATATTGTTTTATTTTATTTAGAAGATTTATATGGCCATTCACTTGCTTTCAGTAACCCTAGGCAGCTTACAAAAAATAAAAAACTCACTATGAAAAGAGTAAAAACAATAACCCTCCTTCCCTCTGGTGACAATAAGCAATGAAACAAGCCACTTGACAAGCTCCATCCCACTTTGTTTCCCCAGACCCCTGGGCAATAGCTGGCATTGTGAAGACACATATTTTTATAGAGCTGATAAAAATGCATCTCTTATATGTATTAGCTTATAATGACTACATCTCTGTAATATAATGATGGACTTGTTTGTTATGAATATATGCAAATAAATACATCATTTCAATTTAGATAGTGTGTAAACTAGGCACCATCAAATTTTAATTGCATACAACATAATGGAATCTATTTTTTGAGTGTTTTAGAAATTGGAGAAACTCTGAAGTGCCCTTGGAATTATTACTATTATTTGTATTGAATTGAGCAATTTGACTTTGTAGTTAGAATAAGGGAGGGGAAATTGTATGATTATCCATATATCTCCATTGTTTATTCGCATACTGCAAAAACATTTGATCTCATGATATGTTTCCTGACTATGATTTGTTGGAAGAAATCAACAAAAAGAAAGTTTCTCACTGAACAGATTTTTTGAAAAGTCAGGCTATTAATGATGGCTTTATATAAAATGTAGAATTCACATCCAATAAGGGCTCTTTTGAGCCCTTATACAAAATTTGGAATTCACCCTAATAAATAAAATATATTCTACTGTATAAACAAAGAGAGAAAGAGAGACAGAGAGTGGGAAAAACAACTAATGCAATCTATAAATGATGATACTAATGAGGCTACTGGGCTAGTGCTGAAATATTTTTTAGTATGCTAAACATAAAATAGGATCATACGTTAGAAGAAGAACACATTTCCATTAACTTGAATGTTGTTTTTTTTCACAGCAGAGTGGAAGCGATATTAAGTGGGTGGATGGAGGAAAGTCCCTCTTCAAAGTGTCACTGCTTATTGTATCCACTGTTTACACTCAGGTAAAACATTGTCTATGTTAAGGGAAAAAAGTAGAAGCGAAACAAATGCAAAGTAAAAAAAGTAGTTAATATCTATGTGTGACTTTCATGCAGAATTTTTCGTTTGGATTCCAAGGAAATAAAATATTTTGGCTTCTACCTTTAGCTATTCTGAAATAGGAAATCACACTTAATGTTAAGTTTATAGAAATTTTTATGAAAGATTATCCTTAAATATTCCAAAGGACACACTTACAGCAAATCTGGCATATTTGATATTTTTCAGCAAAACCTTTAGAATGTAAATAAACATTTAGAATGTAAATAAAATAATAAGCTATATATTACAATTATAACAAAAGACAAAAATAATCAGTTGCTAGAGCTTCACGTAGATAACTGCAATCTATCTAACTTTTCAATTTTCATAAAATTTATTTTTTGATAAACAAGATCCAGTAATCTTGCAAAGAATTGAAGATTTCTGAATACATGGTCAACAATCTTTGTTATGTATACAAAGGTTGTACAATTTCATGTAAGGACATAGCTGCCCTTTATTTATTTTTTAAAAAATCTACTATTATTTTAATAATAATTACAATTACATGATATTATCAAAGTTCAGGAAGTGTTTACTTTCACAACTTTCAGAAGTCTGTGTTCTCAAACTTCATTTGATAGCAATTAGAAAGTAAAGCATTTTTAATTTAATTTTGGAGTCCAAAATTGAAGAGTTACATGTACAGTGGCACCTTTGGGCATTATATTTCTAAGCCAACCTCCTTATTATTTTAGTTCTGAGATCAGTATTTAATATAACTCATATTGGAACACAAACATAAACATTGTATTTAGACACACTGAAGAGTGTTCTTCTATAGATCATTGTTATTCTTATTGTACAGATACTACATTAGCTTTGTTTATATTGGCTGATTGATGGAAAAGAGAATGGAAAAGTTCCTGCAATAAATTTGGCTTAGATTGTATCAAAAGTGGAAATACGTATTTAAAGGAATTACTGAAAAATGTCTCCTAAAGGACTGATTTTACTTTTAATATTATCTGCTTATTATTGCACAGTTATTTTTCTGAATCTGCACGCCACTTTTGTTGATACTACACTATTTTTTTATATACATTTGCTATAGGATCCATATCTGAATAGATTTTTCCTTCAGTGCCAGAAAAGAAAGAGAGATTTCTCCCAGCCACCTACCTCAAGTTTTATAATCTCCTGTAAGGTAAGGTAAATAAGAAATTATGTAGGTATTGATCATGCTAATGGATGAATATTGTATATTTTAATTCTCCTTTTCAAATGTGTGCATCTGTTACCATAATGCTAAATTATACATTGCTGAAGAGTGCAGAGTAGCCGAAAATAAAATTGTCTGAACATAAAAATAAACATTAACTCAAAACCCAGCATGTAAAAATATTTACTAACTCCTATATCTATGTTCTTTATTGATAGTATGAACTTTTAAAATAGAAAAAGTCATTTCTCATTCCAGATATATGTCATAGATCACCAGAAAAATAGTTATAAGAACAGCCAGAACCATTTGGGTTGGTTTTTTCATCTTTGTTACTTAATAATAAGGATTTTTTTTCTTTTTGTCAACACTGAGCATTATTTTTTCTTGGATCATGAACTCTGCATGCTCATATTATTCTACACAATAATGTTTACAGTAATTTCAGCCTTATTTATATAATCTTGACTTAAAAAGTATAAGTAGTACCACTGTAGCCTAAGATAAGTTTGATCTTCTGGATTCCTTTTCTATATTTTAATTTAACAGGGTATGCAAAAAGTTCAGTTTTGCAAATGTAGAACTAGACCCAACTATTGTGTTACTCCTTTGTTTTTCAAAGCAAATAAGTAACTGATAATAGTTAACTAGATCCCTTGTTAGATGGCCAATTTACCATACGCTGCTGTCTCAAAGAGGAAATCATTCATCTAGCTATTATTCCAAGTAACCTCTTGGAAATTATATGTCTCCCAGGATAGCTGTAAACACTTTTTAACTAATATAATAAATAGAAATAGAAGCAGGCTCAAAAAAACATTTTTACTTTATATATTTATACTTTTGATTTATATGCTTGATTTAAATTTTCATTGGGATCTCAAGACAGCCTATAATGCATAATTTTATCCCCACAGCAATTACAGTTTGAGATAAATTAGACTGAAAAATTCATCCAGACTTTTCATGGTCAGCTCTGGACTTGAATCTTGCTGTCCTATAATCACCATTAAAGATATTAACATTGTCCAATTTGTGAACATAACTTTACAGTACAGAAGGTTTGATGTACAGCAAACTATCCTAAGATACAGCTTGTAGACATTATTTGCATATTTAACAGAAGGTCAGTTCTTAAGAGTACAAACCATTTAGTGACAAAAAGCATATTCCTGAAAGTAACCTAGAAACAACCAGTAACAACTTTGAATGCCATTGCCTACCATTTAAATGTTGCTTAGAAAGAAGTTAGCAACCTAATAAGCCAAGGATATTATGATTGAGTAAATAAGTGCTATTAGGATTCTTTCAAGGCAATTTCAGACCTGCTCCGATTTCTAAAAATGCTCAAAAATATATTACATGAGTTTAGGTGTCTGCTGACCCAAAATAAACTATAGTAATTGTATTTGTAGTCTAAATCTGTAGTATGATCAAACTAAGGACAAACCCAATCCATGTTGCACAATCTAACAATTGCATAACTCTGTAATTGTCTCCATGTATTTATTTAAAATAAAGGTTGAGTTATATGTAACTTGGATTAAATTGCTTTTACTTTGAAATATATTTGAACTCTTCACCAAGTCGGACTTCATTCACAATTAACACTTCTATGTAATTTTTATGGCAAAGGAAATGATTTGTCATTACCTTTATTTTCTTCTCAATATCCCCAACTAGTCTAATTCCCTGGAATTCCCTGGTGGTTTCTTAGTCCAGGATCACTACCTCCAGCCTACTTAGCTTTACCAAGACAAGCTCAGTGCTGCCATCTGCGGTACTCTGATTTAATTGAATTTATAACATTCATGGAAGTGTAGATTATCATTCTCTGTTCATGCTTGATTTTTTTAATCAGAATTTACTTAAAATTGAGAAGATCCATGTCGTTGTGAATTTTCTTCCTGTGATTCTGAACCAACTGTTCTGGGTTCTTATACAAAACAAAGAGGATGAAGTAACAAGTGCTGTGACCAGGTATTTGCTGTTCTACTTTCAGTTTGTTGTCTTATGAAACAGTTGTTGAAGTCTATTCAATTGTGGCCAAACATCTTAACCTTAAGTGTTTGTTTTTTAAAAAAACATTCATCAGTTTGGGTGATAGTCCTTGGCTTGTATAGTGATTTCAATCACATATAAAAGTTCATGCATAAGAGAAAAATTGGTCAGAATGTGACAAGTGGTTTTAAACAGATCTTCTATATCACAGACCTCTTTGGCATTCATTTATTTGAGTTTCAGAATATTCCAAATAGTAAAGTTTTAAGTTCAGAAGGTGGCAAGTTTGTTTTTATAGAAGGCCAAATATGTTTAGAATGGATTTTGAACGTTGAAATGAATTCTGAATATTAGGATTATGCACTTACCTTTTGTCTTCAATAACTTGAAGACCACGTTTGATAAAGAAAAGTTAATCCTAGAATTTTATGGAAATCTGATTGAAGCAGCAGAGGTGTGTGTTTATGTGTGTGTTTATGGGACTTTAGGTTTGTCTTTGCTCCTGGTATGTCCATGGGCAAGTCTTTGCAGTTTTCTTGGAAGTATTTTTAGAACTGATTTATTATTTCTAGGGGTGAGGGAGAGTAACTGGGACAAAGAAACCCTGCAAGCTTCTGTGTCTAAATCAGGATTAGAACTCCTAATCTAGATTTCCCACTCCTACACTTGAACCTTAACTATTAGATTACTCTGGCTAGAGAACAACATGTGCAATGCATAATTCAACACCCAAGGAGGACAAATCCCTAGAACTCAAGGCTCTTACACATTATTTGAAACACTGTGTGTTTAGGCAATAAAATAAGGCCACTTTTAATTATTATTATTATTATTATTAATAAGAATAATAATAATAATAATAATTAATAATACAAACGGACAAAATACTGGTGCATAATACACCAGACATCACACTGATTGAGAAAAATAAGGTCACAATCATAGACATCGCAATACCAGGTGATAGCAGGGTCGCCAAGAAGGAACATGAAAAAATTGCAAAATACCAGGACTTAAAAATAGAAATTCAACGACTATGGCACAAACCAGCAGTGGTAATTCCAGTGGTAATTGGCACACTGGGTGCTATTCCAAAAGCACTGGAATTACATTTAAAACAGTTAAAAATTGACAAAATCACCGTCAGTCAAATGCAAAAAGCCGCACTGCTTGGATCTGCACGCATATTACGAAAATATGTTACGACGTCCTAGGCCCCTAGGTGGGGCCCGACTAGTAACCAATGCCAAATCCGGCGAAACAACTGGCCGCTGTGATACAATTGTACAATAATAACAACAACAACAACTAAATTAAATACACTTGTTTACATTTTTAGTTGTATTATTTGTTAAATGAAACTGCCTCTTCTTTATCACATTATATGGTCAATCAATACTTTTAATTTACAGGGTCTTTACTGACATTGTGGCCAAGTTCCATGAAGAAAAATTAGATCACTATATTCAATCATATATAAAGGTAAGAATATTTAACCTGTTCTTATCTCTTTATGAAATTTCAGATTTATCCCAGTATATATATTTTTAAAGCCACCTTGGCAAAGCATTATGTGTTAACTGTCTCTGTTAACTACCCGTGGTAATTTATCAGCTAATTATCTTACAAGAATTTGCATGAGACAATATGATTTCTCGTGAACATCAAGAGTTGCTTGTAATAAAGAGAGCATTGTTGGGAATTTTTCTGTTTGCTTTCAAATAGCTTGTGCATAATATTTTTTAGCCTTTCATTATTTTCTCAAGAACTTTTTTATTGTCTAAATTGCAGTGGGTTTGTACCTGTTCATGGTATGTGGAACATTTTTAATCTTCCAGCATGATATTTTGCACATATTTGTGAATTGGCACTGCTTGTTCTGTTTCTTTCCATTCAATTTTCACTCTAAATCCTTCATTGTACTGAATGAATGTGTACTAAGATTAGTTATAAATACTTTAAAGGAATATCCTTGTATGCAGTACCAGTAAAAATGCCCTTTGAACTAGTCCTCAATAAAGCTACTAAAATATTTGGCATACTTTGCACAGTGAAAGAAACAAAGCAAAGTTGTTGATTATAAGGAGGGAAAACTCAAAGCAGATTAAGACAATGTCATTGTTTTGCCAAATCAGATTAAAAAATAAACTCATGAATATTTTTAAATTAGCTTGTTATCATTGGGTATGATATTAAAAGGGAAAAGGAGGAAGTTATTGATATCCACGATTTCAGAGGTACATTTAATTATAACACGATTAAAATAAATTTGAACAATTATTTCAATTTATACAAACTCAAATGTTTGCTAACTTTTTTATGTCACAATACTAATGTAATCATTTTTATACTTCAAACTCTGATCTTGAATAACTCCCAATTTTTAAAGCAGATTTTGCATTTGTAGAGGGGGACTGATAGGAATAGGGAATTTCTGCTATCATTTATACAAGTGGAAATACAAACAAAATATTATGGAGAATTGAGGAATAAATATCAATAATGACAGGAATGAATCAGAGATGCATGTACATGGCTCCAGATTCATTTAATTTCTGCTTCATTACTTTAAGTGAATGTGAAATGCCTTCATTTAAATATACTATTTCAGAAGATGTTCTAGCTGTACTATATAACCTGTTTGATCCCTGCAATTCATCATCTGATAATGTTCCATTTTAGCCATTAGCATATGTATGTACCTTTACAATTATGAGAATTTCATTTAAAATTTGTAAGAATAATAACAGATTTATAATAATTTGATTTTGAGAATTATTTTGAGTGCTAGTTATGAAATTTACTGAATTCCACATTAGTAAAATGTCTCAAATCTAATAAGATACTGACTGTCCCACACATCATTTTTCCACTAGTGTTTTATTATATAGCTTTTTCTAGAATCATTGTTGTACCAAAGTAGCAAAAATGAAGATGAGCTTTTCATGCTTTCCTTGGGGACTGCTATGAAGATATTGCTGTATATTGCTAGTCGAGAAATGGAGATATATAAGTCAACATGAATGTTAATTATGAGGATATATATCCTTTTACATTTTTTACAATCTAAGTGTCATAACATAAATTGAATTTATAATAAACTGAATGGCTCCAACTTTATTGCAATAAAACAATATCATTGGAGGTTTTTTTGCATAATGAAATTCCAATCATATTATATTTAGAAATAAGTCTCATTGAATTCAGTAGGCCTTCTCCCAAGCAACTGCATATAGTTCAAAAGGTTAATTTTATTTTTATTGTATATTAACTTGTCATTTTGCATGTATGTACATGCAAAATGCCTCTCAGGAGACTTAGCAACAATTTAATCAACCTTAAATTGTAATATCTGCAAAGTTTTAAAATTTGTAAGCGAACAATTATAGTAGAGAACTATGATATATCAAGAAAATGTTTTAAGAAAATTACCATTCATTAGAGAGATGAAGAATTTAAATGATAACCCTCATGAAGTTAAACAGTATTCTGAAGAATGTTAATATTTACTATTATTTTTTTGAATCTCATGCATTTTAGAAATAACAAAGTATAGCATAACACAGTTGAAGTATCTTAACATGTTTAGATTAAGGAATACTGGTGATGAATCTAAGCTGCTTGGGAAAATCTGTCAATTTTAGTCATCATGTTCTCTCTATATGAAAATAATAATCAGAGATATTATTACAGTAAATGTGTTTGAACTCTTCAGAGGTTGTAGTAGTGATAGCAGTAGTGTACTCTAAATTAAATTTGATGTCCCAGAAGAATAAAGAATGCTGCTGGATTCAAATCTACTTTTCTGCTCTCCCAAGTAAAGCATGATCTTGTCATTCTGCATGATGGCATCACGTCATGTGTTGAATGTCTCTAGTCATCATGAATGAGACAGAAGTATCAATCTTGCATTTGTTGCAGCATCAAATTTCATTCAAAACATTTTTTCTCTGTATCTTTCTTGATATAAAATTAATGCTACTTCAAAATATATGTAACACAGAATTCTTATTTACATAATTCCATTCATAGCAGCATTATTTTGGAGGAAATGCTGATGAATATTAAAAATATTGTGGACAATACTCTACACATGTAAACAAACTAAATTGTGTGAGTGCTTAAGTAGCTGTCACTAAATGTATTCTCTTATTACGTTCAAAACAACATTGGTCGAGTGATTGTTTTGCCTAGTCATCCTACATTCAAGAATAAGACTAAATGTCACCACATTTCATACATTTCCAGATTGGCTGATGTTTAGAGCAAAAGAATGGTGCATGTGCAAGATAACTGCAGATGCTAATACATCCATGCTGGCAGGAATAATCTTTCAATATTTATATGTATTTTTCCCACATCCCACAATGTATTCAGTCTCATTAGGAAAGTGTTGAATGTGTAATTTTTTTAAGAAAAAGTAAGTAAAGTAAGCAACACAAAAATAATGACAAAGTAACTTTCCCAGGGATAGTTTGAACCTATCAAATATAATGATTGTGGTAATAAACTTTAATATAAAAATGGAATATGAATTGGTGCCTATACAGCAGTGTTAAGAGGCTGGGAAATTCTGGGAGTTGAAATCCATCATAAGTCCATCCTTGGCATCATAAAATGCCAAGATTAAGAAACACTACTATGCAGTCATGATCATATTGCTAAGCATTTGTTGACAGGTTCAAGTATTTATTGCCTGAGATATGTATTTTTGATTTTGGTATACACCATACCTTTCTGCATAATGTAAAATGTTCATAACACAATCTTATGCATATTTAATCAGAGATATTTTTCATTGAGTTCAGAAGGATTTATTTTCAGGCAAGTGATGCAGACTTGGGAATGAGTTCATTATCCTTAAAGAGCTGTACTTCTGAATGGTCAAGGGAATGATTGTGTACAAAGTATAATTTCTAGTTTCATTACATTCAAATCAATAGAAGGCTAGATCCAAAAGGCTTGCACCATAAATATTTTCCTAGCATTGGCTATATTACCGTCAGGTACTATATGATGTAAATTATTTGTGTTGAGTGGAGTCAATGAGACCGAAAGTTCCCCCATTAACTTTTTTCCTGCATTTTATATTATACTTTTAGTATGTATTCAAAGCTAAGACATTTGAAGAACGAACTGTTCATGAAGAACTGGCCAAGAATATAACTAATCTGTTGCAGTCGAATGATCAAAGGACTGTGAAGCTTGTTCTAAAGGTGAAATTTATTCTTATTCATGAACTAAAATGTCAGGGAAGCTTTTATAGGTAATTGCTTTTGTTCCTTTGAGTTAGTTTTGGACTGCTGGTGACTTCCTGGACTAGTCTTTGGAGTTTTTCAGGCATTTGGGGAGGGGGGGGGTGTCAATGCTTCATTCCCAGGGCTGAGAGAAAATGACTGATCAAAGGTTACTTAGCTGACTTGTGCTTCAGATATGATTAAAACTCACAGTATCCTGCTTTCTAACTTATTCACCACATCTGTTTTAGTATATGTTCTTATTTTATGATGTCACTTTGTTGTCCATTCCCTGTAGCTGGGAAAAGGATTGCTTAGCAAAACAGCTAAAAAGTTAATATGGGAGCCTGAATCAAAATATTAAGATTTAAAAGCAAGAAGATGGTGATGTTGTTGAAGGAGACCTATATTGGCAAATGCATCACACAAATGCAGCTTCTTGCTAGCAAATTGAGCAGGGATATTCCTTACAAAATGTTACCAATTCAGCACTAAAGTGGCTGAGAGAAAGGTGGTTTTGATTTTGTTGAATAAAGAATTTTATAAATTGAATTCAGATTCAAATAATGGATGAACTTCTTAATTTTTTTAAAGAGTTAAATGAGATGCCAATATAAATTCCAATTAGAAAAGGAGAAACAATAAATTTATTAATTCCTCAGTTAGTCCCTTGCCATTGCCAAGCTATTCTGGTGAGTTCCCCCAGACCAGAGAAGCAGTTTTTCAAGGCTACCTGGGAAGTTAAAAGGCAATATTATAAATTACTGTATCTATGTACAGAGAAAGAAGTGACTCAGGTTGCTCCATAGATTAGAATTCAGGTTTCTATTCTCTAATCTTATGCCTTCCAAATATTTGGGAAAACAGCTCTAGCAAATGTCAGCACTTTGCTTATGTTTTATGGAAATGGTAGTCTCAGCCTACTTTTGGGGCGCTTTTTGTAAAGAAAAAATAAACCTGCAAAGTATGTGTTAATACAATATATTTACTTATTTTTAGCACTCCTGGTTCTTTTTTGCAATTATTTTAAAATCAATGGCACAGCATTTGGTTTACACAAAGAGAGTACAGGTAAGACTCTGCTATTAGGCACTATACAATAAGTGTTATCAATATTTAAACATGTCTTTATTTACTATTTTACTCATCCAAGTGTTATCATATTCTTCAATGAGCGCAATGATGCTTTAGTGGATATATGCTTTTCATATACTTTGACTTTAGACTGTATTTTCTTTGGTTGTTATTATATTATATACACAGTAAAGCTCTTAGAGTCTCTGGATTGTAGTGGCGTACAAATGTGTGTGTGTGTGTGTGTGTGTGTTGTCTGTGTGTGTGTGTGTGTGTGTGTATATATGCATTGTAAATGTTTTGTGTAAGGTAAAAAGATAGCAGGCCTTTTAATTTACTATTAATTAGAAAGTGTCAATATGATATAATGGGTATGGTAGTATTAAAAAAAATTCCTGGATCCCTTTCTCCAAGCCAGGAGAACCGAGGCAAATAAGACAAGGTACGCTGCTGGTGGAAAGGAAGTTGATCTATTTCCCAACAACAAAAGGGTTTGTTCTTGGGGTAGTTAAAGAGAAAAATGGGGTTCCAAGACTTTTTATAGGGGTACTGCAGTTGGGGGTATGAGTTGCAGATGTGCTGGTTCTAATGGGGGTTGGATGACTGTGGATTGCCTACAAACTGGTTCTAGTGTGTGATTCTGTCAACAGGGCAATCTTAATTGTCCTTCCTGATGTCTGTTGGTTTACCTTTTGTTATGTAGATGGTGTAGATAGGGATCCAGTCTATTTGTTGGTGTGGGGAAGTGTGACTGAACAGGTTCTTGGTTTTGGTACTTCTTTTGCTATTGTCAGTTGATAGCTTAGTGGAGGTGCAGTATAACAATCTATTGTTACAACATATCTCCCATAGTTTCCAATCTAGATAGCTCATGGATTTTGTGTTAATGGTTAAGGGATAACTGAGATAGTGAGAGAGTTAACATTTGGAATAGAGAATCTCCTATGATTATTATTGATTATTAAAATAAAATACCTTCCTCAATAGTCTAGGGGTGAAGAGTTTTAGTACTCACAGAAATAAAAAATATCAACATGCTCTGGACCAGCATGGTAGACTATGGTCCGTAATCTTCATTGGGTAGGGGATTATTTTGACAGATTGTGCATTTATATATAATCAATTGCATATGTAACCAACTATTAACCATGAAATCAACTTCAGTTTTTTCATTTAAAGAAAGAGTGTCAATCCTCAAATCCCTTCTATTTCGGGACACAACTCTGTCCCTAATACTTTGCTAACCATTGCTTCTCTTGATTGTTTGGCAATGGTAAAGAGATCTTTACATGTGAATGATATTTTGGGGTTCTCTTCCAAGTGCTTTTTATTTTAAAAAATCCTGACAAAGCTATATTCTTAAGTACTTGACTTACTGGTTAGGATTTACAAAATTGTTTTTAGTATGTATGATGACTGCCAAGTTACCCTTCTTAGATATTCATGAAATTATTGATTGTCTCAGTCAAAGACTGTAGAGCTGACAGATGAGTAGATTTCTGAAAGAAAAACTGCAAAATTTAGATACAAATACAGGTAGTTACAATGGCAGTTGGGAGTAGAATTTTTTCACTAAGTGATGTGGTCATAAAGCACAACTGCATCATTTAGTGATAGCAATCCCTATAGACACAGCTGCTGTTGTTAACCAAATTTCATTCACATTAGATGAGGCAACTTCTTGCCAGCTTCCTGCAACCAATCAGAGAAGAAGCTGTCAGGAAGTTGCAAGTCCAAGCCAGGCAAATAAATGGCTGTAGCTGGATGGTGGAGAGAGCATTGGGTATGGAGAAAGTGTAAGGAAGGGGTGGGGCATGTGGTGAAGGGGTGCTCTAGGGGTATGGTATGGAGGAGTGTAAAAATGCTGTACATATTGCGGAGGGTGTGCATGACAGTAATGACATGAAGGGTACATGGAGTGTGTGAGATGCCAGTATGGTGCAAGCACAGATGGGAAGGATATATGAATGGGCAACATTTTCTGCAACTGGTGATTGTTAATAAATGCTTCTGCAATTACATCAATGCAATTTATCTGGACAAGTATTAAACCTAAAGATCTCAAAATAAAATTTAGATCAACAGCTTATAAGGCTGCCTATTTCATGCAATCTGTACAGCACTTTAAATCATCAATTAATCATTTCAACATTGTTTTGGCTTTACCCATGATATAGCCGTGAAATAAATTGCAACTGTAATTGAAATAAGTGACTCTCTGGCTACAAATTAAGACATTTCTCAAATTGTATTTATTTTCCTACATCTTGTTTTAATGGTAACGTTTTAATTGAGGCTTAGTTGCATTACTTTGTAAGCATCCAGTGCCATGAAGGCATTAAGTGCTGAATATATTTTCTGAATAAAGAAATACTATCATTAAACTGAGAATAAGAATTATGCCTCTTATCACTTAGTCAGGAGCAATTCCAGTAACTCCCCCAATTTTGTTATGTAGTAGGGGAAGGAAACATTTTGGAATATTGAGTATTGTCTAGATCAGATTCTTATTTTGAAGAAGCTATTTGCTGTCCCACCAGATTCCTCGTGCTCAGAGGTTTCCAGAATCATACAAAACTGAACTAGATAAACTTGTAATGAACATATCAGATCATGTTATTTGGAAACACATAGAAGCTTTTGAAGAGACAAAGAATGCAAGCCACAGTGTTGGCAGGTTTCTGAAGGTAAGTTGTATTTAGTATAAATAAGCATTAGCTTATTTGTACTTGCAGTATCCACAATCCTTTCAATCATTTTCATAATAAATATTTCACTATGCTGTTTGCATAAGATGAAACATTAGTTATGTTCTTTTAGTACATAACTATAACTTAGTACACTGATGAAGACTGGGCATGATAGTGCTGAAAGTTCATACCCGAACAATAAAAGAAGAGACATTTGAATACTTTTTCACCAAAAAAATAATATACAGTAGTTATCACCTCTATAATAAAGAAGATAACTCTTTATTAAAACTACAATATAAAGGATTGCCATTCAGTTTGTATATTTACAAAAGGACAGAATAACTATTGCACTTAGAATTATATGCCACTCCACAATGCTTTACAGCCCTTTCTAAATGGTTTACTGAATCAGCATATTGCTCCCAACAATCTGTGTCCTTATTGTACTGATCTCGGAAGGATGGAAGGCTGAGTCAACCTTGAACCGGTGAGAATAGAACTTCAGCCAGCAGTCAGCAGAACTAGCCTCTTAATACTGCATTCTAACCACTATGCCATCATGGCTCAGAATGCATTTCATAGCCCAAAACTCAAGAAACACAACTTTTCTTAACAAATAGGATCTGTTTGGTTTTAACATATTTACATCTTTAGTAATTTTTGATTTTTTTCTCCTAGCGATGTTTTACATTCATGGATCGTGGATTTATATTTAAATTAATCAATAACTATATAAGCATGTTTGGACCAGGTGACGACAAGGTAAATAAAGTAATGTATGTTTGTAATTATGCCAACTTCTCCTTTTACTTTAGAAATTATCAGAATCAGTAAAAAAAAGAGAATAGGTCTTCCCAGAATATTTGTTTCCTTTTGGTCCTTTTTGATCATAAAAGTTTTATGATCACTTTACAAAGCAATTAACAGAAGAAACATCTTTGTAATATGCTCCTTCCCCATAATGTATAGTTGATTTTGGTTTGCCATACCCCTACAAAAAATCAAAAGTCAATCTATCCAATCAAGTCTTTTAATGAAAACATGAATCTCTTCACTGGACTTTGTTCATTGCTTGCTCATTTAGCAGTCCTTTAGCAGGGAAATGCATGTGATTTTTATTCAGTCTAATCTAAACAATTATTTATCTACTGTTTCCTTTCCCACTTTTAGTTTAGTATTGCTACAATCAACTTTCTCATTTTAAAAAAAAATATTTCCTCTTGCATGAAAAAAAATACTTTCACATACATATAAATAAACATGTACATTCATTATCCTGCATAACTATTATTTCATGTAGTTGTGCAAATAGATTAATGAATGTACATGCATGTAATAAATCACCTGATAATCAAATCAAACCTCAAACTTTCAGATTTTGTTCCAGTATAAATTTGAATTTCTTCAAGAAGTATGTAACTATGAACACTTCATTCCTCTCTGCCTACCCCTGAAATCTGCAAACATTCCAGGTAAGCATTTATGGTCTTATAAAAATATTTATTATAAGGCAAAATAATCTGTATTCAATTTTAAATACATATACTTAGTAATAAAGCTCACAAAATATTAGTGTTTTGTATTATATAAATACATTTAAGGTCAGTATGCAAATTTCACACTTCCAATAAAATCTGTTTACTACAGTTGTGAATATGAGTAAACATTATTTTAGTAACTTTAGTTATTATTTTAGCAATGCATAAATTATGAGTCATGAATTTAAAAATTGTCCGACAACTTTTTTATAGTACTAAAATAAAAGGTAGTTTGAAATTGAAAACCTTACATTTGATTATTAAAATTTGACTCTTTCCATAAAATAAATGAGGGGCCTTAGACCTAAAAGAGAGATACTTTCTCTGTTAACAAAGTTAACAGAATAACCTTGGAGGTCTTCTAGTCTAACCCCCTGCTCACACAGGAAACCCTGTACCATTTCAGACAAATGGTTTCCAAACACTTCTTAAAAACTTCCAGTGTTGGAGGACCCACAACCTCTGGAGGCAAGCATTTCCACTGATTAATTGTTCTAACTGGTTTGCAATGTGTCCTCTTTTTATCATTACATTTCTGCAAATCTATCAAATTGTTTTAATTAGGTGGAATTTATTAGTGAGCTGGGCCACTATTTCAGTAGCTGATTACTTCAGCTGCTTTATATTTATGTGTACTTTGCTTTTTGTTTATGGTGTAAACAAACACCAGGAATTGTGGCGTGCAAATATTTGTAATCAGTAAAGCCATCATATTTTTACTTTAGGCCTCTTAAAAATATTTGCAATTTGTTTTTAAAAAGCCATAGACTTATCTTCCTCATGGTTGGGTGAGCAATATTAGACACCAACAACAGCACTGATTTTATTTGATTTTCCACATGTTTAACCCAAATGTTCTTTTCAGTATCTCAACTGATCTTCATTTTTCTTGTTAAGTCATTTATCATATCTTCTGTCGTGAAAAGAAATGAAGGAAGGGCATAAACTTTAAGATCTAATATCTTTTCTAATTTTTCATTCTTAGTTACAATAACCTGTTTCTTCTACACTGCACAAGTCTCTATGTGTAATTCTTCTTCCATATTTTTTTTTGCCACATCGCCCCTTCAGATCCAGTTTAAAAGGCTCCAGATTAAGTCTGCCATGTTTTGGCTAAACATATTTTGCTAGTTCTTTGAGATGCATCTGATTCCATGCCAACACTTCAGTTAACAATTCAATTAGTTTACAACATGGATAGAAATGGTCTCTCACCGTCATCATTTATATTTGTATTTGAGATTGTATCTTTAATAGTAACTTATAATGTGCTTCTTTCTCTTTCAGTCACCTTCCTTGGCCTGAAAGAGTGTTCTTCCTAGATTTTCAATGTTCACACCAATATGCTTGTAGTAGCTCTCTGCAGTATCATTTGTCCCTGCATAGATTAATAGGAAAAGATTATTTCATTGGTCCTATTGAATCTTAAATATTTGATTGCTTTGTCTATAATACTTTTACACCATCAGTTTCACACAAAGCACGTGTGTAAAGTCCATAAAAAGATAAAATAATCCATTACTTTAAAACAGTTTAGCATCCAGAATAATTGGAACTGATCTCAAAATAGCCAATCCAAAAGCACTATTTCTACTCAGTTTGTTTCAAGAAGTGTGGATGGATGAATATGATACCATAAAATTATACCTTTACAATTAGCATTGTCATTTATCTAAATGTACCTCTCTTTCTTTTTTCTTTTTTTCTTCCCCTTTTCCATATATTTCCACCACACCATTCAAGATCCAATCACACCATCAGAATCAACCCAGGAGTTTCATGCATCAGGTAAGCCTAAAAACAATTTGCAGTCTTAGTTATTACATGTGGCATTCTCAAATTCCATTTCTAGCATTTAAAAAATTATCTACTATTCTACACTGTACCCAAGTTTGAAATGGAATTATTCTCCCACAACTTTGATTGGCAGACATGTTTGGAGTGATAGTATACATTGCATTAGTTGAAGGATGTCTAAATGAAGAATAGAAACCTTGTTGTTATGGATAGCTAAACTCAGCAGTAAGTTTAATATCTATTTCATCTTGCCATTACTAAAGAAAATACTACTATAATTCATCAGGTATAGATTAACAGAACTTCCTACTGATTTATAACTCAAACTGCAACATTAGCAGACATCAGTTAAAACAATGAATTCTACAAAACAGTAATTGTCTTTCTAATATTTGTTAATTGAATAATTTGGATGCCAATTAATTATATAAGCCGTACACATACATACCTATATACATACATACCCGAATATAACAAGACCAGCATATCTACACCTGTGCGAAGCATATATATGACAAGTTTTAAACACACAACTCTCTTGACTGTCTTAATCCAGATGTTCCTGAATATATTGTGACAAATGAATTTTGCCGGAAGCATTTTTTAATTGGATTACTTCTTCGAGAAGTTGGGTGGGCACTCCAAGAAGACCAGGACATCAGACACATGGCCTTAGCCATGCTCAAAAATCAGATGGCAAAACATTCCTTTGATAATCGATACAGTGATCCGGTATGAATGTTTAACTTTTTGCCTTGGAGGAATAGATCATTCTGTTATCTGTATTGAACCATCTTATTTAAATGTCTTTTCTGCAGGAGAAGCAGGCAAAAATAGCAAACTTGTATATGCCTCTTTATGGATTGCTTTTGGACAATATGCCAAGGATATATCTGAAAGATATGTTTTTATTCAGTATCAATACATCTAATCAGGTGGGTTCCAGTAATGGGCGATAGTAATTTAATTTTTCATAAAACTATATTGCTAACATTTTTTAATTATTTTAGACTAGATTAGTTCAGATTAATTTATCAGTAAAAAGTGTATGATAAAATGATATTAGTTTAACGTCACTTAAATTAGCTATACCGTTGGACTTATTGTCTATGAAGGAAAAAAAATCCATGGTTTCAGACTAAAAGAATACCTAAAATAAATCCATTGCAATTAATTATTATAAAGAAAACCCAATTTGAAATTCTTATCACTTACAAGCTTGCTAGATGGCCATAAACAGGTTAGTTTCGTATTGGCCTCACATCTGCATCTAAAGTTGTCTCTCTTATTGATTCATTAAAATCTGCCTTCCTTTAACTGATATGTTAAGATTACCACCTTAAGGTTGGTTTAGAATTAAGGGAAGACATAGGAGGAGGAATATTTTCCTAAGCTAATTTTATTATTTTTGGAAATGAATTTGTTAATATTTACAAATATTAATATTTCTAAGGTTGATAAATTATATCAAGCAGAAATAGATTAAGGTGTGGTAGTGGTGATGATGATGGTGAAAATAACAAATAACCTTGTCATTTGATTGCAAAAGAGAAAAGCTATGGTTCTATCCTAATGTCAAAGCAGTGGTTATATAATTATAAAATTAGCAATAAGTGAGAGATTTTGAATATTGATGTAATGCTCACGTTTGTTCTCTGGCTGTCATTGAAATCTAGGGATCTAGAGATGATTTGAGCACCACTGTAGGATTTCAAAGTCAGACAACAATGAAACATGCAAATTCAATAGATACTTCTTTCTCCAAAGATGTTCTTAATTCAATTGCAGGTACGGAAGCATTTATATAAAAATAATCAACTGTTTTGTTATATTGCAAGTTTCATTATTAACAATTTTTACATGTAAATTATCTTTTAGCATTTTTTGCAGGAGTGTTTCTGATCTTAGAAGAGAGTAGGAAAGATATATTGAATTTGATTCCACAAGATCCAAAGTCCTCTAATTTGGCTGTTATTTGGATACAATTTTTAAAAATGTTGTAACTAGAAAAGAAAACAAAAATAAAAGAATTGTGATTTCCCACATTCATCTATATCAGTGGTTCCCAACCTTTTTTGGCCATGCCCCACCTAAGCTTCTCTAAAATCCTGATGCCCCTCCTCCCTTGACATATAATTCTTATTTTACTCAAAAAGTGAACTCTACTCACGTGGAGGAAGCCTAAAAGGCTATTAACTTGGTTTGAACAAGGTTCAAATTACCCCCATTAAAAATTAAATTGCCCCCCTGTGGGACGTGGGGCCCACATTGTGAACCACTGGTCTACATATACCATTCCTATAGCATTTTTATAATTTTATTTTATTGTCCTCTTATTAGTTGTAAGAGATTATGAAATAAATGATGGTATATCAGTATTTTAGATGTGCTCACGGATGTTTATGTGTGAAAAATCTAACCCAATTTATAGAATAGAAATACAGACAATACTCTACTTAAAAGCAGATTATGTTTCAAAAGTCTGTTGTAAACTTGTTTTGTTTCCAAGTTCACCAAGTATAAAAGAACATGTGCAGTGCATGGATGGTGGCATTGTAAATCCTGACAGCAATGATGTAGGGTCATCTTCTAGAATTGAAATGGTCCATTTTCCACTTTCATGAAGAAGTGATTCAGTGGGCTTTGGATTGTTACAGGAGCAATAGCAATAGCAATAGCAATAGTTAGACTTATATACCGCTTCATAGGGCTTTCAGCCCTCTCTAAGCGGTTTACAGAGTCAGCATATCGCC